GTTTTTACAGAAGAAATTAGTCTGTAAGAACATGTGTTTTAAGATCTTTTGTTTCTAACTTTCTGAGTAGAGGTTTTCCAGAGGGAAAAAGTTTAAGATATTGACTGTTTCTTCCTCCTTTTTAATAGATATTAGTTAAGGACCTGATTTTCCACTAGTTGTATTCCTAATTTATTTAACCAGTCCTCTCTGAATGAACATTTGAATTATACATACATTTTTGTGTGTATTCTTTCAGTACATCATTTCACATGTGTGCCAAAATATTTGAAGGATAATGATCTAGAATTAGAATTGCTGAGTAAAGGGACGTCTGGGTGGCTCAGTAGTTGAGCGTCTGCCTTTGGCTCAGGTCTTGATCCTGAGGTCCTGGGATTTAGTTCCACAGCGGGCTCCCCACAGGGAGCCTGCTTCTCCCTCTGCCTATATCTCTGCCATGTGTGTGTCTCATGAATAAAAGAAATCTTAAAAAAAAAAAAAGAATTGCTGAGTAAAGAGTATGTGCATTTACAGAGTCAATGGATGTTGCCAAATTGTCCACTGTAGTGAAAATAATTTACATCACTACCGCCAACTTTCAAATTCCTTTTTCCTCAACATATTTTATTACATTATTGAACTTAGTCTACTGGAAAAGGGGAAATCTGATTATAGTTTTTATTGGTATTTTTCTTATATGTGACATTAAACATCTTTTCAATATGTTTGCACTTTTTGTATTTCCTTTGTATCAACATGTCCTTCGAATGTTTTTCTATTGAGTCCGGATTTTTATCTTACTGGTTGTAAGTAAGAAAATTGAATAAGAAAAGCAAACTCTTGTGATTTGTGATGACTGCATTTCCTATTTTGTTTTGACATTTGTCAAAAAAGAATTGTCTTATTTCTCATAATAGTTTTTCGGCAACTTTTAATTGCCATATAAATGTAAATATTTTTTTGAGATAAAATGTATTAATTTTTTATGGCTTTGGGTTTTGTCTTATTCTTAGAAAGGCATTCCTAACCTTGGGGTTATTAAAACAAACCCTACCTTTTCTTCAAATGCTTTGGGGTTCTTTGAAAATTTTTTGTTATTTGTTTTGATGTGAGAAATATTTTCTAGATAGCTGCCCATCAATATTTATTGAAAACCCACATTTACCCCAGTGCTCTGCAATGTTCCCTTTAGAGTATACTAAATTCCTATATATATTTGGGTTTGTGTTTGGATTGTTCATACCATAGTTCTCTGTTCATGAATCAGTACTAGTGTTTAAATGACTGTAGAATGATAATATCTTTTAAAGTATCTTAAGGATTTTATTTTATTTTTATTTTATTTATTTTTTTAGGGATTTTATTTTTTATTTTTTTAAATTATTTATTTATTTATTTATGATAGTCACAGCGAGAGAGAGAGAGAGAGAGAGAGAGGCAGAGACACAGGCAGAGGGAGAAGCAGGCTCCATGCATCGGGAGCCCGATGTGGGATTCGATCCCGGGTCGCCAGGATCGCGCCCTGGGCCAAACGCAGGCGCTAAACCGCTGCGCCACCCAGGGATCCCTTAGGGATTTTAAATATTTATTTTGCTTACTTATTTTTTCCATGTGTACTTCAGAATTGTCGTGTGCTATATTTTTTGCGTAGCTTTTTTTTCCCCTTGGAAATTTTATTCTAATCAGCTTATTTTTGTTATTATAAATGGGATTGTTTTCTGTGTCTGCTGTTTTTATAGCTCATGGGTTTTAATTTATTGTTTTTATATGTAGACACTTTACTAAAATTCCTCTATTTTTTGGTAAGATTTTGTAGTCAGTTTCCTTGGATATTCCTGGTATCCACTCAAATTGTTTGCAAATAATGATAATTTTATTTCCTCTTTTCTGTTCTTAAACTTTTCTTTCTTGACTAAAGATATTGGCTAGTACCTCCAGAACATGGTTAATTAAATATTTGTGGTGAAAAATGGATATCTTTGTTTTGTTCCTGATTGTCAGTACTTCTTGGGTTTTTCCATTATACATGATGCTGACTTTGAATTGAATTTTTTTTGTATTTTATCGTATTAAGGAAGATGGCATAGTGTTTGTTTCAAAATTTAAAATTTAGATCTTATATGAATAGAACAGTTGCAAGGGTAATACACAGAATTTTTTCTTCTTGAACTATTTGAGGGCAGTTTGCCAGCCAACCTGAGCCAGCCAACCTGATAGGCTGTTGCCTTCCACCAGATACTTAAGTGTTTATTTCCTATAAACAAATACTTTCTTATGTAACCACATATAACCATCAAAGTCAGGAAATTAACACTGATATATTGCTATCATCTAACCCTCAGACCTCATTCATGTTTCATCACTTGTCCTAATGTCCTTTTATTGCCAAATTCAGTTCAGAATTTGGTTTTCATGTCTTTTTATTTTTTACTTATTTATATATTTTTAAAGATTTTATTTATTTATTCATGAGAGAGACAGAAAGAGAAAGAGGCATAGACACAGGCAGAGGGAGAAGCAGGCTCCATGCAGGGAGCCCGACGCGGGACTCGATCCCGGGACTCCAGGATCACACCCTGGTGGCGCTAAACCGCTGAGCCACCCGGGCTACCCCAGTTTTCATTTCTTTTTAGTCTCCTTTAGTCTAAAAATCTTTTCTTGAGTTTTATGACCTGACAGTTTTGAACATTACAAGAAAATTAATGTAAAATGTCCCTCAACTTGAAATTCCCTGATATTTCCTTATGATTGATTTCAGGTTATGCATCTTTTGTGGAAATATCACAGAGGTGTTCTGTGATCACCAAGAAGTATCACCAATACTTCCATTACTCTTTTTTGTTTGTCTTTCTAGGTAACTCCATCTTCTTTGTAATCTTTCTCTTGTGGGTCTTTTATTTTTATTAAATATTTAATACAATCTGTGAATTGATAGGATGGGGAAGCAAGTGTGCTGAGAACCCAAGGAGTATCTGGTAGGTTCAGGAATGAGTACAGTAAAGACTTTCTAGTATTAATGGGCTAAAGTTTCAGAATCCTACAGGAACCGTGATGGTGGCGGAAATACAAAACTAGCCAAAGGATAATAGAGAGGAAGAAATTGGTCGTTAATTTTATTATTATTTTGATTATATAATTATGCAGATTAGATCGTTGTTTTTATTAAAGCCATTTTGAAGACTATATAGAATTCTACGGGAGAGCATAGAATTGGTCAAACAAGTTGAGCCATCAAATCCTTTTGACAAGACTTTCATTTTTGCAAGCCTTTATTTCTTTTTTTAGCGGGTGCATGGTGCAAGGTGGGGAAGTAGGTGGAGATGAGGAATAGAGGGAGAGGGAGAGAGAATCTTAAGACGGTTCCATTCACAGCACAGAGCCTGACTCGATGCTTGATCTCACGATCCTGAGCCGAAATCAAGAGTTGGATCCTTAACTGACTGAGCCACCCCTCATTTCTGTCAGCTTTAAAAACAATGTATTATTACATTGCTTACATAAAATAATGATTTTGCAGGGTATATCATTTCACAAGGTTTTATGATCATTAAGTTTGGGTAGTATAGATATTTGATGCCTTTTCCTCTGTGAATACAATTGTTTTGGACTATTTTTAATTCAGTAAGAAAAGAATAATCCTTTTAATTGCATTTTAAGAACTTATTGAAATGCAAACAATAACAGTACCATGTACATCTTGAAAATTATAAGATGCTTAATAAATTGGATTTTATGTTCATTATGGTACTGAAAGCATGGAGTGTTACTCAAACTGAGTAGAAGTAAGTTTAGTGACTCACTAAACTAAGTTGGACAGTTCAGAATTTAAGAATGTGGTAAGGTCATCATTAAATATAAATTCTTGCTTAAATGGAAAGCACTGTGGAAATATAAATAACATTGTTATCTAGGTTAATGTAATAGAAATGGAAGAGGAAAGCATAAGAGAATAGTGAAACTGATAGCTATCCTTGAGGGCCCTTAAATCCTTTCTGCACTATTCTTAGTGGTGTTATGTGAGTTATTTAACAAGTTAGTGTTTGCAACATAGTTTCAGTTCCTTAAGTGGAAAATACTATTTCAATCATAAATGTGTTTTTGGTATTCTGGAGAGCCGCTCTTTCCTAGCTGTTTTTCTGAAGACAAGAGTTTTATGGTTTTGTTTACATGTTAAAATTAGGGATTTTTTTTAATCTGTAATTATTCTTTGAAGGGGCCAGGAACCTATGAAGGGCTCTTGTCTCTGATTTACCTTTTTGAACTTTCACTTTTCCCCTGCATATTAAATCTCTTAAAGGTGGGGATTGAGAAAAGGCAGCTGTGTATTGTTGGTAGGGCAAGTCCAGAATAGACTCTTTGAAGACTGTCTTAAATCCATTAGATTTACATATGTGGTGAAGCTCTGAGAACTGTTACTTTGCAATGGTATTAGGTATTACAAGAACTCACTATTTTACTTTCTCCCTTTCCCCATCTTCACTCTTTAAGAAGCCCCCTCAATGCCATAAACACTTGATCAAACTATACTGTACACTTTGCATATGTCTAAATTTATATTGATTGTTTTAGATAACAGACTCTTAGAGGATACAGTCTATCTGTTGTAAAATCCCTTGTCTGAAGTAAATGCATATTAAAAAAAATTAATTTTTTCCCCTTGCAATTAGTGCCTTTCTATATCTGTACATACTTTGTGACACACATGTAAAAGGAAACACATTTGTATCTAAGTGTCCTGTCTCCCAAAGTTTCTTTCTTCAACTGAGTTAAAAAGTTTTTTTAGGGATCCCTGGGTGGCTCAGCGGTTTGGCGCCTGCCTTTGGCCTGGGGCACGATCCTGGAGACCCGGGATCGAATCCCATGTCGGGCTCCCCGCATGGAGCCTGTTTCTCCCTCTGCCTGTGTCTCTGCCTTTCTGTCTCTCTCTGTGTGACTATCATGAATAAATAAATAAAATCTTTAAAAAAAAAAGTTTTTTTATTTGGTCTAATCTTAGTTTTGCTTTTCTTTTTCCCACTCAGGCCCAGATTGCTTTCCTTCAGGGGGAAAGGAAGGGTCAAGAAAATTTGAAGAAGGATCTTGTGAGGAGGATCAAAATGCTGGAGTATGCTCTTAAACAGGAAAGGTAATTCAGTGAAATGGAAGGCGATGTTCTCTTTTATTATTGGGGTAATTTCTCTTATTCCTAAAACTAACACAAATTTTAATACTTAGTACTTTTGAGTTCAGGAAATAGTATCTCTAATACACATTTACAAATGATTGTAATATGTTAATGTTACTGTGAATGTTTAATAATCATAGCCAATAAACTGATTTATATGATTTTTTAAAAAATTTAGCAACATTTTACCTCTGCCTTGTCCTTTCTTAAGAAACTTATTGGCTTTCTGAGCTGTCATTGTCCATTTCTTTAAGGAATTGAAATTGTTTTTGAGTTGTAAAGGAAATTTCTGTAATGCTTACTCCCTTGTCATCTAATATTATTCAATTTGGTGTGTTTTCTTTGGGGAAAAATGCAGACTGTATTGAGAATCTTTTTATCTTTTTCTAGACTTTTTTGGAATTTTGTTCCTTTGCTATTAGCTATTCATATTTCTTAAGAAGTGAGTCTTATCTTTCTATATTGCTAGTGTCTAAAATAGGTTACTAAGCTCAGGTCACAAGTAAAGGACAGTAGGTCATAGACGAGAGTTTTGGAAATTTCCATATGAATTATAAGTTAATTTTTAACAGGTGGTCTTTGGATTTTTTTGTTTTTGGGTAATAGTTTGTTTTCATTTCAGATAATTGAGTACTTGATAGGCAATATTGAAATTTTCTATTTTGCTTGTTTTGATCATGTGCTTTTCTCATTTCTTTGAGGTTGATTTGTAGACTGCAAAATTTCCGTAAAATAGCAGTTAACAGATAATACTTATGAATATTAAGAAGCCGATTAAATTTTATTAGAACTTGTTTCACCTTTATGCAGGATGTTTGAATGGCACAAGAAATTGAAAACCAGCTGACCTCTTGGTAAAAAATAGATAATTGTTTTATTCCTTGAGAGGTTGGTTGACAGCTATATTGGAGAAATGGGGGAGGGAAACAACTTTTAAAAGCATGCAATTTGGGAATATTTGAGATTTTAAGCAATCAAATTATAGGCGTCATTGAATAGAAAGAGTAATAGCAATAATGGCAACTTAACTGCTATGTACCCTGCCCTGAGGCTTAAAAACAAAGTAACTTGAGTAGAGTTGCAAAGTTGTATAGAGCTGTGATTCAGATCCATCAGGTCTGAATTCTGTACTCTTTACCAGTGTATTATTCTACCTTGTGATACAGAAGAATTAAAATATGCTGATAACTAAAGTAACCAGGGATGTTAGCCGTGTGTGTGTGTGCGCGCGCTCATGCGCATGTGTGTATGTATATAAATATGTCCCTTCTCACTAAACATATTCACTGATGTATCTGTCCAACTTAAGCACTGTGCTGGAGCTGAGCATAAAAACATAGCTCACTGTCCTTGGTCCATAAGGACTCAGAGGAGCAAGAAGCAGACTTGGAAACCACAAAAGTAGAGTGCAATGCAGTATGATAGGTGCTATGGGAGATGTCTGTACAGGGTACAGTGGGGTCACAAAGAATAGAGTGGTTATTTGGATCTGGAAGGTGGAAGTAGAAGGGAAGATATAATTGGAGAGGAAGTGAGACTTGAACAGCATCATAAAAAATAAGGTGTTTGCCAGGTAGGCAAAGTTCAGGAAATAGGATATGTTTGACAGGGAACAGAGCAGTTTGGTGTGTCCAGAAATTTGCAGTCACTGTTTTTTGGATGATAGGATGTTAGTTGTGATTTAGTAAGTGAAAACAGTAGACCTAGGCAAGATCCAGATCATGGGGAACTTAACTAAAGAGTTCAAACTTTTATCTTCCATATAATAGGGAATGTTGAAAGTTTTCCAAACTCTTTTATTCTAAAATTTCTTTTTTTTAAGATTTTGTTTATTCATGAAAGAGAGAGGCAGAGACACAGGCAGAGGGAGAAGCAGGCTCTATGCAGGGTGCCTAATGCAGTACTTGATCCTGGGACTCCAGGATCACGCCCTGAGCCAATGGCAGGGGCTAAACCGCTGAGCCACCCAGGGATCCCCCTTATTCTAAAATTTCTTAAGCTAATAAGAAGTTGCAAGAACTACATGCCTTTTACCCGGATTTACGAGTTGACAACATTTTTCTGTATTTACTGGTATGTTCACTCTGTAGGCACATTGCTTTTTTCCTGAATCATTTGCTGCTTAAATGTAGACATTATACCCCTTTGCCCCTGAATACCTCAGTATATATCTTCTAATAGCAAGAAGATTCCTTTATATAACTCTTTATCAAATTAAGGAAGTTTACTGTTGAAATAGTTCTATTGTCTAATATAGCCATAGTCTGTATTTATAGTTCCAGTGATTATCTTTATAGCATTTTTTTCCCTCAAATGTCCCAGTAATTATTTTTGTGGTACTTTTTTTCTTGGTCTAGGATCTAGTCTAGGAATACGTACTGTATTTAGTTGTCATGCAATTGAGAGGAGCATGGAATAGTGTGAAATAGATTTTAGAAAGATCACTCTGACCTCAGTATGGGGGTGGACTGGACAGATCTGTTAATAGAAGCTGGAAGAGTCTAAGAGTCTAGGATGAGAATTTATAACATGGTAGCTGCTGGAATAGAGGAGGCATCAGCTATGAAACATTTTAAATAGAATCCATAAAAATTAGAGATGGTTGGGTATGGAAGATGAGGAGGAAAGATAATTCAAGAATGATTTCCAGGTTGCTGGCTTGAATAGAAGTTTTGTAAGTTATCAAATGAATTAAAGATTAAGAATTAAGGGTTGAAAAGCAGATATGGGAATAGGACTCAGGACTAGAGATGTATACTTGAGAAGCGTGAATATTGTGGATAAAGTTACAGGAATAGTTGAAACAAGCAGAACAATTTTGGGAAGAGGAGAATCAGCCAGAGCCACAGAAAATGGAAATGTTTGAGGAAACGGCAGAAGGAGGAAGAGCCAGCAAAGAAATGGTTGGAAGAGGAAGGACAGAGCAGTATATTGGAAGCTCTAAAGAGGGTGGGAGTTTGACAACTGCAGATGCCAAACAGACTCCAAGTAAGTTGTAAACTGAAAATAGTCATCTAGATTTGTCAGGTAGGAGCTTGCTGGTATCCTTGCCAGAATAGCTTCAGTGAGGTAGCAGGAACATAAACCAGATCACAGGGGATTGAGGGGTGAGAAGGACAGATAAAGTGGAGACTGATAGAGTCGCTTATTTTTTCAAGTAGTTTGACTTTGAAGAACAGAAGAGATAACTGGGTCAAGGGAAGATTTTTTTTTTTAACTAATGGAATTCTGGGAAAAAGTCACTGATTTTATATCTTCTGAAATTTATGTATTGGTTTGAGATTTTTCCTGATGTATAGCACTATTTAAGTATAGTAAATTAAGGAATAAAAACATCATTTCTTTGTAGATTGGAGCTCTGAAACATTTCAGTTCTTTAACTCTGAAATTATTTTTCTAATGCTTTAATGCTAGGAATTTTTAAAAATTTTAGAGTTCTAGAACATTTCATTTCTTTTGATTCTGAGATTATTTCTCTAATGCTTTAAGCCAAGATTTTTAAAGAAAAACAATTTTTTTTTAATTGAGGACAATTTGAACCATCAGTGTAGAGAGGCAAATATCTTCCGTGTACGCCTCCAAGCCTCAGCGATAATGCTCCTGTCAGCCTTGCTTCATCTGGATTTGTTTTAGCACAGCAGATTCTAGACATCTTGTCATTTAACCCAACACACCTAAGTGTATGGATCATGGTGTAGAATTGCCATGTTAGTGATTTTCTTAGTAGTCCTAGTTAAATAAGATCCAAATTCAAGTGAAACTGAACCTTTAACATTACAGCAAGATTACTCGTCTAGCTGTGAATTTATCAAGACATTCCTTAAAGTATGATAGAATATGCAAAAGGAGCAAATTTACATCTAATTTTTCAGGAATACAGTGTGCAGTCTAAGATGTACTCTGGAACTTCCATACTGAAGAACCTTAAATACTATATAAAATACTGTTCTGAAACATTCCATTTTTCCTGATTTCTGTCTTTCATGTACACTACTGTAAAAACCCATATATCCTCCTTGCCTCTAATATTTCCATACTTGAATTCATCTTCTAAATTCATAGGATTCATTTTTTAAAATACAGATGTATCTCTGCTTAAAAATATCTCACTTATTTCAAAGTTCTTCCTAGAACTCTTATAGCCAGGCCCCTATCTAGTCCTGTATGTACACACACACATTTTTTTGACCTGTGATAATTTTTTTCCCCACTTTTTCTTCTGACAGAAATATTCTGTATCGATCTGTTCTTCTGATTGGAAAACCTGATTTTTTGAGGTTTTGCTAAAATCTCATGTTACCTTATTTTGATTAGTTCTCCTTGATACCACCTTTGATAGATTAGATAATCCCTTATCCGAATTCCTATTACATTTTTAAAAAAGATTTTATTTATTCATGAGAGACACAGAAAGAGAGGAGGAGACATAAACAGAAAGGAGAAGCAGTCTCCCTGCAGGAAGCCTGCTGCAGGACTTGATCTACTTCATCTCAGGACCCCAGGATCATGACCTGAGCCAAAGGCAGATGCTCAACCACTGAGCCACCCAGGTGCTCTTCCCACAACATCTGTTAGAACTCATAACTCTTATCACAGTGTGCTGTCTTATTTATTTTAATTTCTCTTAGGCATTTCCTTGCCTCCACTCTTCATTGACTATAAACTGCAGGTTATTCCTAGTAGCCAATATAGTGACTGACATGTCATAAGAATTGAGAAACAGTTCATTGATTTCATCAAATTATTTTTAGCATCAATATTTACAGTGTAATTGGAGTGCTATGTTATATTCCTAGCACATTTTATATAATAATAGACTTTGAAACAAAGCTATAATAGGACTTTTTTATTATTATACAATTTTTATGCTGTTTTATCCAGTAAAGGCCAGTTGGGAGGGCTAGCTGTGTATTATAGAGTTGTTTGGCATGAGATCTATTTATTTTATATAGTCACATTTAGACAAAAAGATAAGGGAACAAGAAGATTGGTAGATAACACAGTGAGATGAAGTGTTAAAACCATGGGAAACAATATGAGTGAGAAAGGTATTTAGTGTATTGACTTCAAAAGGAATGTTACTAAGTTGAGAAGGGTTCTGGGAATAAATTATTTTTCAGTGAATTTAACAGTTCAGTAGGGAGACCCTGCTTCAAGAGAATATAACCTGTGGTAAACACAATAGTTCTTTCCTTTGTCTTTGTTTAATATTTATGAAATAGTTCATAATGTTATTTCTATTACATACATTGTAAAGATTATTTTCTAGTTTCTTTTTAATATAAACTCTGTTGCAGTTTTTCCTAAGACCACTAGAATGCACTGTAGTGCAGTATTTTTTGTATAGAAATGTTTTTCTATATATATGTATATTTAAATGAACGCCATAATATTGTTACTTTTATTCCCTCCTCCTCAGACCAGTTACTTTGAATTGCTATTTGACTTTTAGGAGGTATTGTTACTTTGTTTTGTGGTAGGTGAAAAATCTAAAGATTGACAGTTACATTAAGAACCTTGTTTAGTTCTTAGTAACTAAGCAAAATAAAGTGGCTATAAATCTTACTCTGTAATAATCAACAGTATTAAAAATACATTGAAATAACTAGGAAATGTTTAGTCTGGTAATGAAATCTTAACCTTAAGATTAACAGAAGCATTGGGGATAGAGAAAAAGATGTTCTACTTAATTTGGAACAAATACATTGAAATAACTAGGAAATGTTTAGTCTGGTAATGAAATCTTAACATTAAGATTAACAGAAGCATTGGGGATAGAGAAAAAGATGTTTTACTTAATTTGGAACAAAAATATTTACTAAAAGTTAAAATAAAGAAGAAATATATGCATGTTGTTAATTAACCAAATAACACATTGTGGTCTCCCTTATGTATCAGTTCATTGATTTCCCTTCCCAAAGGAAATTTTATTAACTAATGTCTTATGTATCATGTAATCTTCCAGAAATCTATATATATGAAATATATCTATGACACACATATATAAAACAAATATTCTTTTATTTTTATAATTTATTTTTAATGGGTATATATATATATATATATTAAAGATTTTATTTATTTATTCATTCATGAGGGACACAGAGAGAGAGAGGCAGAGACACAGGCAGAGGGAGAAGCAGGCTCCACGCAGGGAACCTGATGTGGGACTTGATCCCGGGACTCCAGGATCACGCCCTGGGCCAAAGGCAGGCGCCAAACCGCTGAGCCACCCAGGGGTCCCAGTGGGTATATTTTATTGCAAAACATTTTGTGCATACGCAAAATGTATAAAGACTATACTCCTATATCTGCTACCTACCTTAAACATCAGCTGTCAATAATTTTCATAGGTTTTCTTAAAATTCTCCTCCATATAGACTTTGATTTTTCTGTTGTAACTGCAGAATAGTATGAATTCAAGTACTTTGCTCATTTAAGCAAATAATTTTCATTTCCTTTATACCTTTTTGAAATATAAAAACTTCTTTATGTTAAGTGCTCAATCTTTTAATAAAAAAATTAACTTTGAAATTTGGCTATATTCCTTAGTACTTTTTTACTTTGGTTTTTCAAATTACTATTACTGTTGTTGTTAACCTTATTACATATAATATTTATTGTAAATGGCCTCAATATTTTGGGCAAGCAAACAAGTCAAATATACAAGTACATTACTAAGTTACGGCCATTTTTGGTTGACCTTTAAAATTTTAACCTTATCTGGATTATTTTTCTGGTCTCAAATGGTTAAATCTGAAATGGTGAAATCAGGTTAGCCAGAAGTACCTTTAAAAGGAAAATAGATTCAACTACCTTTAAAAGGAAAATAGATAAGAATTTCTGTTCACAGTTCTTCCTGAAAGGGCAAAGGATATCTTGACTATTAAAAAAATTATTCATTCCTTCTTCAATAACTTATTCAATATTGGTGATTTGGGCTGGTTCCCCCTCCCTCCTTTGAATTGTTTGCTATGATGCATACTTGGTAAATCTTAATTGCCTGACAAGGCATAGAGTATTATGGATGACCTAAAACCTTTAGTTTGGGTATAGTTTACACATAATGTTATATTAGTTTCAGATGTGCAGCACAATGACTCTATTTCTATGTTATGCTATGTTTACCACAAGTGTAGTTACTGTGTGTCGCCATGCAATGCTATTACAATAACATTGACTATATTCCCTATGCTGTACCTTTCATCCTGTGACTTATTCATTCTGTAACTCAAACCTGTATCTCCTAGTCTCTTTAACCTGTTTTGCCCTGCCCCTCCCTCCTTACCTCTGGTAATTCTCAGTTTGTTCTCTGTATTTGTAGATCTGATTCTGTTTTTTATTTATTTGTTTTGTTTTTTAGATTCCACATGTGAGTGAAACCGTTTGGTATTTGTCTTTCTCAGTCTGACTTATTTCACTTATTAGCATGTTACCCTCTGGGTCCATCCATGTTTTCATAAATAGCAAGATCTCATCCTTTTGTTATAGTTGCATAATATTTCGTTGTATATACATACCATTAGATGACTTTTCTTTTTAAATACATCATTTTGAGAAAGGTTAGTCTTCTACAAGTTAGTTTCATAATCCAAATTTATCTATTGCTTTTGATAGTAGAATTGTACTTTGGCAATCATCAAGAAAATTTGAATACTATAGAAACTAGAATGTTATATATAATTATAGAAAGATTTATGGTTCCCAGTATTCTTTTATTTGTTATAATGACACATGATGGTATAACAACAATAAAATAATAATGACAAGCACTTTATGACTTTGACTCTGTGGAAGGCTATTTTGAAAGGTAGCCAGGACTACTGTGTATTGATGACTACTCCTATTATATATCCTAAAGTTCATTTAAATATATTTTAAGATGGTTTGTGTTTTCTTATTTCTTTGTTAGAGCCAAATACCACAAGTTGAAATATGGGACAGAATTGAATCAGGGAGATATGAAGCCTCCAAGCTATGATTCTGGTAAGCTAATTTTAAAGGAAGTTTAAGTGATTAAAAAGAAGTTGATATCCAGTATTTGTAGCAACAATATTTATAATATTGCAAATTAATTTCTAATTACTTGCTATTATTTTTTTCTGACCCACTTTGACACTAATCATTTAGTGTCATTTAGATGATTTTCCATCACCTTCCTTCCTTTTCCCTCTTTCCCTTTCTTTTAGCTCCTTATGTTCTCCTTATGTTCTATACTTACTAGAAGGATCAGAATTCATGGGGTAACACAGTAACACACTAACATAACTGTGTCTTGCTGGGTTTCTTCAGTATTAATGGGAACTTTGAGATGTGCCGTACAAGTACATCGTGCCCTTGAAATCCTGAGAAAAAGAGAAGGAATGATAGAGTTCAGAGATCTCTTCTCAAGTACAGGGAATTCCTAATTCCTTCAACGTAATCCCTCAGTTGGCAGGTGCAAAATTGTTTTTGGACTTTCTTACCCAAAAGATTCTGCTAGCAGACCATCTTTTAACAGCTAAAGCATTTATTATCTTTTTGTGTTATTTCTTCTTTTTTCTTCTTCTACTTCTTCATCTCTACAAAAATAGCACTTTGTAAACAATCAGATATGAAGGAATATAAATACAATTGGCGTATTAGTAGGTATAACTGATAGTAAGAAAAGTTGTTCAAAAGTGATTCATGTTTCAAATGAGTGTGTTTTGGCATAATTTCAAATTAAATTTCTAGATCAAATATCTGGAGATATCAATCGTTGTTTATATCGTTTCCTGAAATAACATGCCTTGTACTAGGGGCTTTATGTGTGTTAACCTTAGTTCTTAAAATAGTTATACATAAGGATGGTATTATACTCATTTTACCTATGTAAAATTTGAACTCAGAAAAGTGGAGAAACTTCCACAAGGTCATGTAACTATTAAGTAATGGGAATATAGATCTGAGTCCAGGTCTGTTGACTCCCAACATTCATATATATATATATATATATATTTTAAGTTTACTTATTTATTTGTGTAATCTCTATACCAGCGTGGGGCTCAAACTCACAACCCCAAGATCAAGAGTCATGTGTTCTTTTGAATGAGCCAGCCAGCTGGCCCATAGTCATGTTAGTCCCATTTTACTACATTGCTTTGGTGTTGACAATGTATGGAAAAAACCTTATAAAATAAATTCTGAATGTGCTGCCAATTTTACCAATTTAGTTTGGTAATGTTATTAGCACAATCCCACAGCTGAATATTGAATCCTTGAGATTTAGAGCAGTAACAGTTGATCAATGGCATGTTTTTTTTCCTTTGTTTTTTAAATTGTTCTGTCTTACTGTGGTGTCTCTTCTTTTGACTTGAGATGCACTTAAATTTTTAAATTTCAGACTATTTGTTAAAGGCTGTCCTGAAAATATCTTGTCTGATTCACAGAAGTGATTTAATCAGTACTTTTATATTAAAAAGTTTGTTTCCTAATTTTTAGATATCATTTTAGGAGTATAAAGGTCTAGTTGTAACATATAGAAAATGTTTATAAGTAAACAGTGTGGTTCTAGAAAAAGTTAGACTCTTATACATGTAAGTTTAACTCTGCTCGACACTTTAGATACCCGTGATATTTCTTTTCTTCTTCTTTTTTTTTTTTAAGATTTTATTTATTTATTTATGAGAGACACACACAGAGAGAGAGGCAGAGACACAGGCAGAGGTAGAAGCAGGCTCCATGCAGGGAGCCTGATGTGGGACTCGATCCCGGGACTCCAGGATCACGCCCTGGGCCAAAGGCTGACGCTAAACCGCTGAGCCACCCAGGGATTCCCCTACCCGTGGTATTTCTTAATCTTTTGGAGATTACTCTGCTCCTTATCTGAAACTGAGAAAAATAGTGGAAATAACTCCTAACTTTCAGATTTATTTTCTTAATATATAACACATAGTTAATACCTAGTATGTTTCCATCTACTGATCTTTCAAACTGTTTATTTACAAATACCTTTTTTAAAATATTTTGTTTATTTACTTGAGAAAGAGTGAGAGAGCATGTGCACAGCAGGAGAGGGAGAAGCAGACCCCCCACTGAGCAGGGAGCCCGATGCTGGGATCACAACCTGCGCATCACAACCTGCGGAGGCAGATGCTTAACTAACAGAGCCACCCAGGTGTCCCTCAAACTATTTCTTTACAAATTCTAAATATGTAATGCTTGTCAAACCCAGGATCAAATTAAGTGAATAAGATAACAATGCCCTATTGGATTTTTATAGGGAAGATAGGAAAAAAGTGATTACAGTAAAATGACATGTATAATGGGGAAGATAATGGGTGTTATGGAATGTAATGGTAGGGGAACCAGATCTAGTCATAAGTAGTCAAATAGTGTTTAAGGTTAACATCTGAAGGACAAGTAAGAATTGACCAGGGAATGTGAACTTACTAAATATTTGCTGAATGAGAGGTGGGAGAAAGGCAGAGGGAAGAATATGGCGCATTTGAGAAATAATTGGCTAGTAGAGAAAGGGAGGGAAGGAGTGTTTCTAGATGCAGTTGGAGAGTTAGCTGGGGGGCAGATGGTAAAGTATCTTAACAAGGGTCTTGTAAAATATGTTAAGGAGTTTACATTTTATCTTAATTTTGAGAAGATATTTGAAGGATGTTAATTAGGACTCTTGTGATCAGATTTGCTTAGATCCTACTGGCAGCAGTGCTGTAACAGGTGGATCAGAGAGCAGCTGGATCAGTGGTGGGGGACTGGTGAGAGGACTGTTGCAGTCTCCTGACTAAATGAGGAAGGCTGCCTTGATAGGATACTGACTACTGACTGGACATGAAGGAGGGGGTGGGTGTTCAGGAAATCCTTAGTAAAATCTGCAGGAATGAGTTCTGGTTTCAATGTAGGAGATGAAAAAAAGGGACACTCAAAGATGACCCCCACACTTATAGTTCTAAAAACTCAGTTGGAAGTAGATTTGGATGATGATGGGTTTACTTTTAGATTTATTTGTTATACAATCAAGTGAAAGATGGCTGGTAGACTCTCTGGGTCTGGAGCTCAAACCAGGGGTATGGATTTGATATGGAGATTTGAGAGGCATCAACATGTTGTGCCAAAGGCACTCGGGTCATTGGACAGGAGGAAGAGGTGCCCCTCCACCCCAACTCCAGACTTTATCCAGAGTGAGAAGAGGACCTGAACTGGAGCCTTGAGGAATGGCAACACTTAAAAAACTGGTAGAAGAATGGAAAGCTGAAAAGGAAATGATAAGAATTATTAATTAATTAATTTATTTATTTATTTATTTATGATAGTCACACAGAGAGAGAGAGAGAGAGAGAGAGAGAGAGAGAGGCAGAGGGAGAAGCAGGCTCCATGCACTGGGAGCCCAACGTGGGACTCGATCCCGGGTCTCCAGGATCGCGCCCTGGGCCAAAGGCAGGCGCCAAACCGCTGCGCCACCCAGGGATCCCGATAAGAATTATCTTAATGGTGGGATAGAAACCAGGAGAAGAGAGGGATTAGGACTATAAAGCACCATGATTAATGGCCAGAGGTTCTGAAGAGTAGCTTCAGGATTTAGTGACATGTGGGTCATTATTGTGGGTAGTTTTAGGAGAAAGTTAAGGGTAGAAACAAAGAGATAAGTGGAAAATGAAGACTAAGTGTAGTTATCTTTCAGGAAGCTTAGACTGTGAAGGTGAAGGAGAGAGATAGCTGAAAAGGCACATGGAATCAAGGAAATTGTGTGTGTGTGTGTGTGTGTATGTATGTGTGTGTGTGATGTGTTTCATAGAGGGGGAGCATATAAAAAGGAGAGAGAAGAGATACTCAAAATAGGAAGGTATCTAAAGAAGCACAGGGATTGGATTCTGAATTCTGAGAGTGGTGAGAGGAGCATGTCTTTTTTGTTCCCAAGAAAGAATGTAGAAATTAGGTGATCAGTTTGTAGGTTTGGGTTTCACTTTGAAGATGGGTGTTTAATATGATAGCTTTATGTGTAAGACTGGATTACCTGCTAAGAACGTATGACAGGTTTAAGAAAAGTAGAGAAGGTTTAAATAATAATGAGCAAGAGGGCAAACTGTAACAAATAGTAGGATTGAGAAAAGCTAAGAGTCCAGGTGAGCTGTGTGATCATGAGTTTATATAGAAGCATTGGTTTGAATACTTGACAGTTTGGGTAGAAATTAAATAGAATGAAAATAGTTCATAATGGAATTCATTGAATTCATGGAGAGACCAAATGGATGAGAGATTTGAGACATTGACTAAAGAATAATTGAAGTGATAGACCGAACTAAAACTAAAGAGGGAAGGAAGTGAAGACAAAAGGAGGCTAATGAGCAAAAGTGAGGGGCTAGGCTGTGGTCTGGAGCTGGTCAGCAAACTTCTCCTTTAAAGGGCTGGATAGTCATATTTGGGCTTTTTTATGCATACGTTCTCTGTTGCAGCTACTCAGCTCTGACGTCCTAACATGAAGGTAGCTACAACACATAAATGAGTGCGTACGGCAGGCCACATTTGACCTGCAGGTTGTAATTTGCTGACCTCTGGTCTAAAGTCTCAGCTAAATGACAGATCTAGTGAGGTGGGAGTATGAGCCTGAAGGAGGTGCTCAGGGAGGGAATTCGCCTCTGTCTGTTCTTCATCATGACAAGATCTGAGGTATGACAGCTAGAGAGGGTGGTGGTTGTGGGGAGGCTGAATTGGAGCACTCACATGAATATTAATTTTGCTCAAGATAAGGTAAACATTTGGTTGCAGAGGAAGCATGGTAAACCTGGTCCTGAGAAATTTGTGAGTGACAGGTTATTGAGAGATTTGTGAGTGACAGTGATGAGGACAATGACTGGGAGAGGTTGGTATATCCAAACAAGGTAAACTTTAAAGAAGCAGGAATTCTTCTAGTCTTTGTTCTTTTATTCATTTACAGTATTTATTTTTAAAGTGACAATCCAGATATTTTCTGAGACCTTTTTTTTCTTTATGGTGAAAAAATTTATATTTAGATTTATAGCCAGCTGGACTCAGTTTAGATGATCCCAATTTTGTTGGCAGCATCCAAAGCATCATAGTCAGGAGCCAGTTGAACATATGCTTTCTTCTCTCCATAAGACCTGATCAAGGTGTTGACCTTGGCCGCATCAGTGTCTTAAAGCTTCTTCACAGCCAGTTTGATCTGGTGCTTGTTGGCCTTGACATCCACAATGAACACAAATATGTTGTTTTCTATTTTCTTTATGGCTGACTTGGTAGTTGGGGAACTTGATGATGGCATAGTGATCAAGCTTATTTCTCCTGGGGGCCTCTCTTTCAAGGATATTTGGGCTGCCTTCAGAGACTCAGGGTCTTGGGTCGTTGGAATGTAGGTGACATGCGGATCTTCTTTTTTTCGTGACCCTGGATGCCTTTCAGCTTTCAGGATGGCTTTCAAAGGCTTTGGCTTTGGGAAGGGCAGGGGCATCCTTCTTTGCCTTAGGCTCCATCTTTGTGAAAGGATCTGAGACATTTTTTATAATAAAATTAGTTTCCCTTCTCACTTTTCCCCCCTAATTTTGTTCTATATCCAAATCTTTACATTTTTACCTTAGGAGAATATTACCCCAGGTTATGTTAAAATCTGTTTATCTTCCATATTTCAGCCTCCTTTATTTAATATTAGAAGCCAGGTACATATTAAAAATAGAATATTTTTATCCAAAGTGACAAATTCTGCCTTTTAATCGAGATGTTTAAACCATGTACATTTCATGTGACTACTGATATGGTTAGATTTAAAGCTACCACTTTTGCTGTTTATTTTCTGTTTGTTCATTCTGTTCTTTGATCCCTTTTCCTCTCTTACAGATTTCTTTTGTGATAATGTAGTTCTTTTGTTGTTCTATTTTATCTCTTTCTGACTTATTAGCTGTAACTCTTTGCTATTTTGATGGTTGCTTTAGGGTTTATGGTATACTTTTTAAAAAATTTACTGCAGTCTGTCTTTAAGTGTGACAGTATACCACTTCTAGAGCCTTGTAACCATGGGTTTCTCTCTTTGGCAGTTGTTTTCACATATTTTGCTTCAATTATGTTATAAGTCACACTACATTATTATTTTTGTTAAACAGTCAATTCTCATTTAAAGAGATTTAAATAATATAAAGAGTATATATTTCTAGTGCCCATCATTCCTTTGTATGGATTCATATTTTCTGGTATCCAATTCCATCTGACTCAGGGACTTTTGCATATCTTGTAATACGGGCTGCTGCCAATGAGTTCTTTCAGCCTTTCTGTGTCTGAATAAGTCATCCTTGCTTGCATTGTTTGTGATGAGATATCTTCTATTAAACGTATCTCTGTTCTTCTATATGTAGAATGTGACCTTTTTCTCTGGCACTTTTAAGAGTTTCCATTTTGTCATTGGTTTTAAGCAATTTCATTATGTAGTCCCAGGTGCTCCCCCCATCCCATGTTTCTTGTATTTGGGATTCGTTGAGTGTCTTGGATCTGTGTGTTTATAGTTTTTGTGAAATTTATAACTTTTTAGCCATTATTTCTTCAGATGTTGTTTTTGTTTTTGTTCCTGGGTCTCTCTATGCCGTGATAAAGAAACACTGTCAAGGGAGCAAGCTGGATTAATCACGGCTCACTTGTGTGCTTCCTTTCTCTCAGAGATCATTGTCCTTTGTGGCCTGACTTTCAGGGTCTTAATCATGATTTCATCTATTTCATTTTATAGTTGTTTCAAGCAGGAGGGTAAATTGGGTCCCTGTTACTCCAATTTGACTGGAAGTACCAGTGAACTATGTTTTTATTACCAGGCAGTTTAACTCTTACCACTTTAAAATCCTTACTTTTGTATGATGTCATTTTTTTAAACTTGATAAAGTAAGAGTAAATGTGATAGTTGATTGAGACAGTGTTGTGAGTTTTAGCTTGGGTAAGGAAATGTGGGAAAAATCAAGTTTACATGTACAAGAAATTTTTTTTTCTTTTAACTTCAGACTTTTCTTTAAAACGTTATCCAGGAAGTCAGATTTTTTCTCAATATGTGAATACACTTTTTTGAAAGAGGGTTAAGATGTATTCTTATTTGATTTGGCTTAATTTATTTTTTATGAAGGTACAATTTACATAAGTAAAATTTACCCTTTTAGTGTTTTCACAAACATATATAGTCTTGTTACTACTACCCTTTTTAGTCAACCCCTTCGTCTGATACAAAGTGATATAAAGTGTTTATTGAATCAATTGTTTGAGATCTAGAGAGGCTATTTCTAGCATATTTGGTTTCCTCCATGACATACAGGAAGAGTATATTCCAAAGAGTCATTTCTACAGAAAGGAAGCTTTTATCCTAAGACAACTCTAAAATAAAAATAACCCACAATTCAATTGTGGATGTGGGATGCCTGTGTGCATGTGGAGGTGTGTGTTACGGATAGGTAAAAGCATAGAAAAAAATAGAATAGGTTTGTACTGAGAGCTAGAGCTGGGTCTAAAGCCCGTTTCTGCCAGTTTCTTCGTATGTAACATTAATTCTCCTGAACCTCAATTTTCTTCCCTCTACTCTGTTTTATGTTCCTATAGTTTGCCTTTTCCAGAAAGTTCTATGAATTCCAGAATGATATGGAATATGTAGTCTTCTGATTCTAGCTTTTCTCATTTAGCATAATACATTTGAGATTCATTCATGTTGATGTGTATCTATAATTCATTCCTTGTTGAATAGTATTCCATTGAGTGCATGTGGCACACTTCGGTAACATCACTAGTTGCCAAAGTAGGCAAAGGCAGTTGAGTATATCTGAGGATAGTAAAGAGAGGCCTATACTAATAAGAAATAAGATGACCTCAAAAGTTCTTTCACATATGAAATTTTTAGTCTTTTAAAATGCCAGTGTAAGTATTTTTACTTGGCAAGTATAGGTTATTTACTTGACTTAAAAAGGAGATATATTAGAACATACCATAGTATATTCCTGAATTTGTGGAACCATTTGTGAACCATAGTTCCTGAATTTGTGAGTCAATGGAAACAAAATGTGTGTTGTTTTTCCTTAGTATGGGGACTTTATTTTTGCCTTTTTTTTTTTTTTTTAAAGTATGTACTCTGAAGTCATCCCAAGTAATCTAACTTTTTGAGGTAACTTAATCCTCCCGCCACAATCTGGTCTACTGCTATTTCTTTAGTATATCACAGAGTTTGGCCTAATTATTTTAGGTGAAAAATGAAAATGGAAGATCAAATTCTTATTGACATATTTTAATTTCTTACTGTAGTGGGAATAGCATGTAGAGGGAAATATGTGAGTTTTGGAGTCAAATGTGATTTCAGTACTTAAAACTATGTTTCTAACTTGGAAATCGTACAATTAACTTGTAAAACTCATCATTTTCATCTTTAAAATAGGGTTAGTAATAACACCTATCTTTTGAGGTTGTAAAGATTAAGAGATAATGTATGTGTTTTTAACACAGCATCTGGAACACAGTAAATGCTTTACATCAAATATAAAACAAATTTTCCCAGTCTTTCTTACATCTCCAGTTGAATAAAACCTTCTGTAAAAGATCACAGCTTCTTGCAGTTTGATCAAGGACTGATAGAAAGTGTGAACTTTTTTGTATTTTTAAAGTTGAGTCAGAGTATAGTTGGGAAATTCTGTAGTCCAGATTTGTCACAGAGAAGGCTCTTTTTATTATACTATCTTCCTGAAAGGATTCAGCTTCTACCAAATGATGAATTAAGCTTTACAAGGCTTAGGTGGTTTTCATTCAAAGAAAGAATGCCTTCAAAAGAATATTTGAAGTTTTCATTTAATAACTAGTGAAGGAAATAGATTTGGATTGAAATTATTTCTTCCCTATCTACTCTTTACCAAACTGGTTTTTCTATCATCATTACTGAGTGCTTTGTTCTAGCTCTGATGTGGTGCTCCATAATACTTTCATTAGACCATTATTGTGTGACTTGATTTGAATAGGTCTTTGTCCTGGAAGGAAATTCTCAGGCTACTAGAGATTGGGAATCTGTCTTTATTTTAATTCTGCTACTCTCAGGCGAATCTCGTAGCAATAATGAATTTATATAACTTTTGTTATGGACATTAGATTTAAAAAAAAAAAACCAGAATATACATTGTCCTAAAACATACCTTACAGTTTGTTGAATGTTTGCATATTCTTAATCTTAAAAATTTTTTATTGGACATAATTTTATGAATTGAGATGCCCTCTAATGTATAAAACAAGGCACTTTTATTATGATTTAATGTTTTCCAGATGAAGGTAATGAAACAGAGGTACAGCCACAACAAAATAGCCAGTTAATGTGGAAACAGGGCCGACAACTACTCAGACAGTAAGTATCCCATGGTCAAAGAGAAGTATACTTTCATATATATATATAATATTATTATCTATAACTATATATATAATTTTCATTTTCAACTCAGAATAACTTTATCTCTTATTATTAGACTGTTGCTATGAAAACACTTAATTGAATTACTGTTCCTTTTTCATAGTAAACATTTTTGTCCCTAGTGGTAGAATTTATTTTTCATTAAATACTAATAAGATTTGCCAAGGATAAATTCTCTTTTTATAATGTGAACTTTATCAGAGTATAATTTTAAGCTTCTAGATTTTAATATATATGCATATTTACATTTGAAAGAATTCTATACTCTTAAAGTTACTTTTTGCAGATATAATATTCAGATGTAATTTTGTGTTGTTTTTAAACTTCCTATTTTAAATAGATTGAAGAACTTTTTTAATTTCCCAAATTTGCAAATTTTGCACTAACATATATACCTCCTATAAAATATGTATTTGATGGGCAGCCTGGTGGCCCAGCGGTTTAACGCTGCCTTCCACCCGGGGTGTGATCTTGGAGACCCGGGATCGAGTCCCACGTCAGGCTCCCTGCATGGAGCCTGCTTCTCTCCCTCTGCCTGTGTCTCTGCCTCTCTCTCTCTCTCTGTCTGTCATGAATAAATAAATAAAATCTTTAAAAAAAAACTAGGAAAAAAAATAAAATATGTATTTGAGACTATAAAGAGGAATACAAAGCTGGAAGGAGATTCACATGTCAGGTGGTAGCCTACAACCCACTTAACGGGCTCACTGCCTGATTCTTGCATATCATGTTTGAAATTGGTATTCTGATTTGTGCTTCACTAAAATAAAATTTACTTACCTGTTTTGGATTTTTGAGTTTCCTTTGAGTAGTCTACACCAATGGTTTTCAGAGTGAATTTGTGCCAGCCATTCCTTTTGACTAATGGGAAGAGAATATTAAAATGTCTCCTTTTATGTATTTGTTATCTATTCAAAGTTAGAAAAAAATGAGAATTCACTAACATTTAATAAGTGGTTTTCATAGTGCCCTCACTTTGGTCTTAAATATGATGTATATGTTTTTCTTTCATAAATAAGTGATTTTAAAGTTGCTGATTTTCTTTTTTTATGAGAAGTGATTATCGTAGCAAGCAATCTGAGATATAATTTTCAAAAATTTTAAAAGACTCATAATCTGCCCCTTTAAAGGTGGTATTTTATCACTGAATAAGTAGGTAACTACTTGGTAAAGCCGACTTACCTATGGAAAGAGCAGTTTTTGAAACAGTTATCTGTAATGTGGTTCTGTTGCCAAAGAAAGGTATAAATCAGATGTTTGTTAAGAACAGAAAAACTTAACACCTTTCTGTTGGTTTGTAAGAAGAACTGATTAACTTCAGGAAAGTTAAACATTTATTATCCAAATTTTAATCAAAACCTTTCTATAAATATTGGATAGTATTGAAAAATGAGAATCTTGATTTGATAAGATACACTTACTCCATTTTGGTCACACATCCTTGTGAAATAACTCTTTGAGCTGTAATCTGTTAATATCAGATCTTGAAATAAACTGACCTCAGACTGGTTATCTTGTCCACCTTTGTTTTCTCTTCAATTTCATAGACTTGATGCTTACTTAGAGGTTCACGCCTAATAATTGTCTATCATGTTTGTTAATGACATCATTAATGATGTTTGCCCTTTTCATATTCCTGCCACTACTACTTTTGGTCTTTTTTGGTCATCTTTGTTCTTAATAGGTATCGAGTATCTTCTGTATGCCATCCTCTATACTGTCCTGGGTATGTTGCTTTTAGGGTGAAGAAAACTGAGATTCAGGAGAATTAATGTTACACGGGAAGAATGGCAGAAACGGGCGTTAGACCAGCTCTAGCTTTCAGTACAAACCTATTCCTTTTTTTTTTCTATGGTTCTGCCTCTCTGTAACACACCCACGTGCACACAGGCATCCCACATCCACAGTTGAATTGTGGGCTATTTTTATTTTAGAGTTGTCTTAGGATAAAAGCTTCCTTTCTGTAGAAATGACTCTTTGGAATATACTTTTCTTGTATGTCATGGAGGAAACCAAATATGCTAGAAATATCCTCTCTAGATCTCAAACATTGATTTGATAACACTATATCAGAAATGTAAAGAAAAAACTGATATAGTAATTGCTATTGTAAAATAGTATTTCATTAAGAATTTGAGAGCGAGTTTGCTCCATTCCTGCCTAGAAGAAAGAATGTGCTATTAGGTATATTAAGGAACAGCTTCTTCTTATGATAAATGTAATGAATGGTGTATTGTATAGTTCTTTGATTTTTTTCAGTGACCATAGAGGCTGGTACTGCAAGAGACAGCTCCATCTGCAGCTGGAAGATTATTTATTAGCAAGTCTTACTAGCATAGTACTGTACTGTTAAATCTTATGCGGGCAATGAATTTAAAGAAATACTTTTATTTGCATATTAAGTTAGAGAATACTGATTCCAATATGTCTGAATTGTAAGGATCTTCTTCACATGCAGGTATCTACAGGAGGTGGGTTACACAGATACTATTCTAGATGTGAAATCTAAACGAGTGCGAGCTTTGTTGGGCTTTTCAAGTGATGTCACTGACAGGGAAGATGACAAAAATCAGGATTCAGTTATAAATGGCACAGAGGCTGAAGTTAAAGAGACAGCAATGATTGGGTAAGTATTTTGTCTAGAAAGCTTTTTAGCTAAAATTTTAGTTTTTATTAAATATTTTTGGTTTTTGGGTGACATTTGTGATACTTGCAGTTTTAGATACTGCTACAGAAATAATTCATTATGAAGTTTAATAAAAAAATTGAAATTTCATTTGATAGAAGATAACCCATAGGAGTTAGAGTTACTTATTATTTTAAGAATATTTTAAAGATATTTTTATTTGCTTGAAATTTATGGGTTTAAACATCTTAATATCTTGAAGCTCAGTCACTTACTATTAGAATTTCACAAAAAGCCATCTTTTGGAGATTCAGTTTAAATCTGTAAGAATGAAATTCAATCCTGGTGACCTAGAAATCATATAAATTTCTCAAGTTTTTTAGAAGTAAAACTTTTTTAGCCACATTTATGTTTTTACTAATATTGTGACTTATCTTTCCTTTGAAAATATCTTAAGTGTAGATTTTTAATTGATAGAATAAGTGTGAAAAATTCAGCAGCTGTTTGAAATATTTTATTTTGCTTTTTTGGATCATGTGTCATACAGTTATATGGAATTCTGCTTAAAATGAACATGAACAGTTAAATAAGGAGATTCTTTATTGATAAGAAATTGGAATTATTCTTAAAGAAATAAAAAAGCCAAAAACTCTGAAAGTCTAAATATTATTTTGCTTCATTTTAATGCATGTTTGGACTATAAGAATGGTTTTAGTTGAACTCTGTACATTTTCTAGTGAGAACATAGTTTCTGTTATTTGGAACATTAACTAAAATTATGAGTTTCATAATTTTGTAAAGGTTCACAAATAGGTTAAGGTTCACAAATAGGACTTTTATAAACAAACTTCTATAAACAAAGATCATTAGAGCCTTCTATATTCATTAATATTTAAGACTACATTAACTTATTTACACAAATGTCAGATTATTGTTTCTTTGTGTAGGCATCAACAATGTAGGCCTTATTCTTGGTTACACTTTTACCTAAAGGGTTGTTGTAAATCATTATAAAGATGTTCAGAAAAGACCACTCTAGTTGTCAGTGTTTTGCCCTTGACCTGACTTTTGAAACTGGCAAGGGTATTATTCTAAGTCTGATTATTTTGAGTCTGATTTGTGTAAGGATACAGAATAGGGTGGAAAAAAACAAAAACATAGCTCCTAGCAGATTTGAAATTTAAGATTTATCTGTGTTGAAAATTTTTCCATAGTCGTGGCTAAATTTTTTTTTAAGAAGATGCCTTCCTATCTAAAACATTTCCAAGTGAACTGGAAAGAAATCATCCTATTCTGGCCTTTAGGAAATTGTGTACTAGATTTATTTTGAGGGAGCTAAATTAACATCTTACATATTTGAAAAGTCAATTATTTCAAAAAGGTTAATGGTATAGTCATTAACAGGATCAAGTTTTGTAATATATTATTTTGATTAAGTTATTTTTAGTAATATATTTTGTACATTATTTTATGTGCATATTTTTTCAACTCCTTAGCTGTTCAGTAGAGATATAAGATTGTGTCAGAGTAAACGGACCTATCCACTAGTTATTTTCTTATAGAAATTTACATATCAGAGGAATAATTACAGAGAGGAAAAAATAGAGAAAAATAGAAGTAGAGGTAATAAAAATATTTTTAAAAAGAAATGCATTAAGGTTGACTTAAGGATCAAAAGAATACTGAATCAGGAGAGGGAGTCCTTTATAGTAACATCAATCTAAATAGATATGATTACAAAGTACTTTCAAAAGAGTAACTGCTTCCTATAGTGCTTTTCAAATTAAAATCCATGGAAATATAATGGATAAGAATCAGTGTAGTTCATAATGTTATTTGAGGGATATAGTTACAATATAAGCAGAAGTTAGTGCAACATATCAAGGATTAATTCTTAATGTTGAGTTTTAAAGATTAACTGAGCAAGGTGTACATGTTTTAAACCAGAAAATCCGAGTTAACAGATTCTGCCTCTGTGCTGGATAATTTCAAATTCCTTGAAAGTGCAGCTGCAGATTTCAGTGATGAAGATGAAGATGATGACATTGATGGAAGAGAGAAAAGTATCATTGATACTTCAACGGTGAGTTGGATACTCAGATATTAATATTTTTAGGAATCATTAGGCTTACTTTAAAAAATAATCGAAATGAAAAAAAATTTTAAAAAAATTTTTTATTGGAGTTCCATTTGCCAACATGAAAAAAAAATTTTTAAAGTAAAAATCCATGTGCTTCAACCAAAATCCTTAACTTTTTTCATGAATTTGGGGAAATTTAATCTAAGAGGTTTTAGTATTGAGTTCAAATTCAAGAATATTTTTAGGATGGTAGCTTTCTCTTAAAGGTCTTCACTCTCTGGGACACCTGGTTGACTTAGTTGATAGAACATGTGACTCTTGATCTCCAGGTTGTGAGTTCAAGCTCCACAGAGTAAAGAGATTACTTAAAAAATTTTTAGAATTCCTGAAAGGTCCTCACTCTTTGACTTGTTAACTCATTAAACATTTTAGTAGTTTGATAGAGCTGGTGAATATGGTAAAAATGTGTGTGCTATAACAGTGCAGTGTTACTGGTGCTTTAAGACAATAGAACTGACAGACCCATTATAGTACCTGATAGTGAGGCATCACCTCTAAGCAGTGTGGTTTTGTCTCTCTTGTCTGGGTTGGTTGCTTTGGTAGACAAATGTTAACAAAATTTTAGAACTGTTTCATTAGATACCTTCAAACTTGCTTAGAATTATTCAGTAGTTTTGTTTAGATCTTTATAAATTCATTGACTTTCCCATGATAGTTTCTTGGAATAAGTAGTGTCTCTTGCTGCTTCTCCCTTTTCTTCCCTTCTCCATTCTGTCACCTTCAACTCTTTTTTTTTTTCGTTTCTTCTCTTTTTTTCTCCCTACTTTTTCCTCCTTCTCCTCTTTTCTCTCTTTTTCCTTCTTCCTCCTCTCTCTCTTTTTTAAGTAATGGATGATTTCCTTGCTTTGTCTAGGAAAATATTTACGTTTCTTCTTTCATTTTATTTAATTAAGAAGAGTATAAGGGAGAAAGCAAGATAGTGAAGCCGACTTGACCTAGAGTTGAAAGCCTTGGGTTTAAGTCTCAGTTCTTCACTAATTATCTGTGCATCTTACCCTTCAGGCTTAGTGTTTTAGTTTGTAAAATGGGGACTATAAAAACCTATCTTATATCCTCAGAAGATTTTGTGAGGAATAAATGAGATGCTATATATGAAAAATGATATAAATGCTTTCTGGGTATAGCTTCTCTGTTCTTTATGCCCTCTGCCTCCATCAGTGACTCTCAAATTATTACTTCCAGATTATTGTTTCCTTGAACCACTCTTCAGTAGTATTCTGCTGATATAGCCTTGCCATGGATATTATTAGAACTTCAAGTAGTCACCCCCATTTTTTCTTATCCAAACAGGTAGTAATAGCATGTGTTTTAATTTACTGTAGTAAAAGAAAATGCCTAAACTTGCATGATACCTTTTCTCTGTCCTGTTCATTTGGAAGTTTTGTACTGTTTTGTGATTTCTCTGGGCCAACTGCATTGAGATGGTATTTTCCCATCAAAATACTTTATTTTAGCTCATTGATAAATTATAACTGATTATGATACTTTAAGTATGGTCTTACTAGAAATTCCTAGCCATAAACTGGTTTCTTTTTAAGTAATTGAATTTACAAAGTCTTGTCTTGCAGCTAGATTGTAGCAATTCTGTGATTAAGCAGTGAAGGCATAGCTAATATAAACATGCTTAACTCCATTTAAGCACTGGATTAAAAAATCCTTTTAGTTTTTCAGGGAAAAATATCTCTAAATGAATAATTGGTTTCTTTGTAATAACTTTGCTAATTCTTAGGCTATATTACATTAATTTTCATAGGTATAGATTAATAGCTACATACCAAAAGGACTTTCCAGCAGTTTAACTCAATGTTGCAATGATTAAGCATGACTTATAAGATTTATTGGAATGCTGTAGAGAGAGAGAATGGCTGAAAATCATCATATTAAAATATTTATTAAAACAAACAGGTTTTTAAACCATTATTTTATTTTGTTAATCAAAACAGTTGAGTAGATTCAACTAAGAAAATGCAGAAACACAGAGTATTGTAACTGTCATTTTTGTGTAGCCACATATGCTCTCTTTTCTTGCCCTTTGCTCTCTATTGGAGTTTGATTGTTCATTGGGTTCTGGATCATTTTCCTCCTCTTTATCCCTCCCTTCCTTGTAATCAACTTTTTCACCTTATTTTTCTTTACCATCATTGTTTTGCATTCTCACCATATCATTAGTTAGGTGTAATAATGATCTTAACATTATACATGTGTATAAAAAGTGATCAACTTTAAAGTGTTTGAAGGATAATTTCATTAGCAAGATTTAGTCTCTATATTCAGATACTTTAAGAGGATTGGGATTAAGAATCACTAACTATTGTTAGTCACAGTCCCATCCCCATTTGTATTATGTTTCTTCTAATGGTTTCAAAGTGGCCATCTATCCTTTTTTTTAATCTTCATGTCACCCTATACAACCTATAAGTATTTTGTGTTTACCATAATTCTTAAGTTGATTTCTAAACTCATTGGAGGTAGGAGTGGAGTGGAACCTTAAATGTAAGGAAAAGTGATAGGTGTTTATTACAACAAACCCCACCCCTTCCCATTTACTAATTCTACTCTCTGTTGGTAGTCACACTTTTCTTCTATACCTAACCATTAAAAACACAGGAGTTTTTGTTTATTTAAGTGGAAGACTTGATAGACAGTGGCCTGCAATTTGCTGTATCTTCATTCATAAGATTATATGGAGGAGAGGAGACCTAGAAACATTTTTTTTCCCAAGGAGTTAGTTTTGTGACTTCATACCATATTTAGTAATTAGAATGTGAAAATTACATTCAGACATTCAGTACGTCTGTATTTTCCCTGCTCTTTTCATCAGTCATTGAGAACAAGAATTCTCTATTTACAAGATGTTGGTGATGGCCCCTCTAATTCATATCTGGTGTCCTGTCAGGGTCAGGAAAAAGGAGGGGTCAAGCCTTTAGGGTAAAAGAAAACAGATTAGGCAGTATGTTAGTTTGTGGAACAATGAAGGTCATCGTCTTCTGTTAGTATAACTCTTCAGAGATACTTTTCTACCTTAGTATGGCTGCCCAGGGAAAATTAGAAAAAATCTTAGCATATGGTTTACAAAAGAATACACCTTCAGCATGAGGTTTTCTGTACACAGTATGTCAAGCTGGTCTTGCTTTTTTGTTTTAGATTTGCTAGATGGGGATTGGAATATGGAATATGGAATACATAAAAGTATGTCTTGATTTTAGGGAAATATTCTGAATAGTTAAATCAGTTATTTTCGCAGCATTGCTAGATTTCCCCTGTTCAGTTTTTATATGTAATAGGACATTGAGGGCAGCTTTCATCTACTACACCAGCTTTCTTCTCCTGATAGTGGCTTCCTGGAGTTCTACACTGAGAAGGACTTTTTTCACTGAGAAGGACTTTTTTTTTTTTATTCAAGTTAGTTAACATATAGTGTAGTATTGGTTTCAGGAATAGAATTTAGTGATTTATCACTATGTGTTATATGTAACACAGTGCTCATCTCCAGCAGGTGCCCTCCTTAATGCCCATCATCCATTTAGCACATACTGCTCCCCACCTCCCCGCTGCCTCCTGCAACCCTCAGTTTGTTTTCTGTAGTTAAGAGTCTTTTATGGTTTGCCTCCCTCTTTGTTTTTATCTTCTTTTTCCTTCCCTTCCCCTATGTTCTATCTGTTTTGTTTCTTAAATTCCACAAAGTAGTGAAATCATGTGATATTTGTTTTTCTCCAACTTAGTTCCCTTAGCATAATATACTGTAGTCCATCCATGGTGTTGCAGATGGCAAAATTTCATTTTTTTTGATGGCAGAGTAATATTCCATTATATATCTCACATCTTCTTTATCCATTCATCTGTCGATGGACATACTTGGGCTCTTCCATATTTTGGCTATTGTTCATAGTGCTGCTATAAACATTGGGGTGCATGTGCTCCTTCAAATCAGCATTTTTGTATCCTTTGGATAAATACCTTGTAGTGTAGTTGCTGGGTTGTAGGTTGGTTCTATTTTTAACTTTTTAAGGATCCTTCATATTGGTTCACTGAGAAGGATTTCTGAGTCTATATCTCATCTTAGATGAAAAGTGCTGTGATTGATTAGGAATAAGCATGAGAACAGGGTCTCACAAGTCAGGTATTTGTTATCTCTTATAATGTTTCTAGACTCTATATTCTGTTCTACTGATCACTCTTGAACCCTTATGAATTTAAAACACTTTCAGTAACCCAGCAATGAAGTTTGATCAGATCATGATATTTCCATTTTACATTAAGTGAAGAACCTAAGGCCTTGAGAAGCTGAGATAGTGAGTCCATTTTATCAAAAGAAGCTACAAACCATTCATCCTAATTTCTTTGGACTCCTGGTGTTGGAGGTGATTAAAAAGAAGATAATTCATAAAGAGTATTGGCATATAGATCTCAAAAATTATCTCTGCATGCATTCAGCCTAAATTTCAATCCTCCAACTGGATTTGTGAATCCAGAAATGTTCCTAAGTACATAAAACATAGCAGTACATAAGTACATAAACATAAAACTATTTAATAGTACATAGCAGTCAGATATACTATTAAATCTATAAGTCAAGTCCCACTTGGGAAGATCAGTATTTTAGAAAAATTTGAATATATAGAGAGTTATTGGAGAAAATTGATGCAAGGTTACAATAGTAGAAATACCAGGGAGATTGTCTTTTTGTTTTTTTTCCCCCTTCTCTAGCACCGTACTTTCTAACACTTGAGGCATGCATTTCTGAGTGTGTAGCTTTCGTGATTTTAGATTTTGTAAGGGATAATGTAGTAGAGTTAACATTTCTCGTGGTTATATTCTGTAAAACTTTTGTATTTTATGAAATGTTTCTCTTTTTGGTTAGATGAGAATGTCTGTACAATGACAGACTGCATCCAAGAAATGTTAAGATATGGTTGGTTCTCAGTACAGTAGTATGTCAGGGACATTTTTTGTTTATCTATAAATACCTGTCTTATATTTCAGTATTTTCAATATATGATTTCATTAGCTTATTTAAAACAAGCATCATTGAACAAAGTTGAAATTACTACTTTAAAATGTATAATGTATATCTTTTTAAAATGATTATCTGTTTTACATTGAATTAAGTATTATAACTAACATAACAAAGATATATTTTCTCAAGAAGCCAATAATTGGGTTTTCTCATTCAGTGATAAAGGGATACTGTTTTCCTTTATTTAAGTTAATTTCATAAATATCCTAAAATTTTAATTTAGCATGTTTTTTCATTAGATCGTTAGGAAAAAAGCATTGCCTGATAGCAGTGAAGATCGAGATACAAAAGAAGCTCTAAAGGAATTTGACTTCTTGGTTACATCCGAGGAAGGAGACAGTGAGTCTAGAAGTGCAGGCGATGGAACAGAATGGGGTAAGGAAGCATACTGGATCCAGCCAGAGATATTAAGTAAATAAAAGAAGCTAGTATTTTACCAGAAGGGCAACATCTTGAAGAACACTGCAAATTTCTTATAATGTTGAAATTTTGAATATCCTGTGAACCTTTTACTGCTGGCACCTTTTATCCAGGGTATATCTGTGTGTGTGTGTGTGTGTGTGTGTGTGTATTTAAAGAAAGTTATACAACTAGTTATCTTATATGTATATTTTTTTAATATAAGCAATAAACCATGAAAAGCATTTGAACCCATATACAGAATGTTCTGTTTCCTGCCTAGATAGTAGAACTTGCAAGTCTAGATTGTGGAAATTGAGTATGAGAATGTAATAAAGAATTTTAGAGACTTATCTCTGGCATCTTCTGTGCAAAAGAAGTATAAATTTAAAAATCTGTAGTTAACTCATTCTAGGAAGATTTCATCAGTTTGTGCAAGGCATAGAATTCCTTGTTGCAAATTATTGTAAACAAATTTAAAATTTTAAACATTAGGAGGTAAAACAATTATTTTGGGGAAAACGTATACAGCATAGATTATTCTAGAGGTTTGGAAATGTTATCATTGTGATGAGTTCTTCCAAAGTGATCAGTTCCATCAGGTGTGTGTATATGTAGTGTGAGTGAGGAAGAGAGAGAGATATTAAGAATGAGAGGAAAATTTTCTTTTGAGGTTGAAGAATTCCAGGACTCCCTTAGTTGTGGTTTTATGTACTTTAAAGACAGGTAAGGTTAGAGAATCAGTAACTATTCTAGTTTTTTTTTTAATACTTTATTTTTTTTATTTATTCCTGAGAGAGAGAGAGAGAGAGAGAGAGAGGCAGAGACACAGGCAGAGGGAGAAGCAGGCTCCACGGAGTGAGCCCGACGTGGGACTTGATCCCGGGTCTCCAGGATCAGGCCTTGGGCTGAAGGCAGCACTAAACCGCTGAGCCACTAGGGCTGCCCAACTAGTCTAGTTTTAAATTGGGGGCTTTCCTTGGGGTTTTGTTGTCAGGAATTCTTATGATGCCACTTTTCCCTTTTTTTGTGGCAAATTTGAAGGTAATTATTATATGGGATAATTAGTCATTGAAGTATATAATGGCTTTATAGCGACTAGTTCTTTTTTTTTTTTTTTTTTTTTTTTTTTTGCAACAGAACAAAGTTTGGGAACCAGGGGGAAATTGAAGTCTCTTTTCTGTATGGTTACTACTGAGCTTATATATCAAGTTATTCAGGTATTTTAGGCACCAGTTCTACCAGCATAGCTAGATCCACTGTGGTACACAGAAGTCTTTCTCTGAGGAATCATACATCTGTATAAATGATAGTTGGCTTTTTTTCATTGCTAGGGTATTTCGATTCATTTCTCTCCAAAGACAGCTGCATTGTTTCTTGTGTCACTTCCTTTGCTTTATAGTGTGAGTCACAGCCCAGGGTATTTTATGATACATGATGTGTATGTTTTAAGCTAACCTTCTGTGAAGTTACTGGTGAAAACATGAGTGATTAGTCCCACCTTTGAGCTGTTTCACTTTTTAGTAGTTTACTGGGTATTTCTGAGTATGAGTGAATAGAATCTTTCAGTTGACTAGAGGTTTCTTTACCAGGAGTTTAGCCTTACATGTTTTTAGGATTTCATTATTCATATTCAGAAATATTCACTTTTAAGCAATTAATAGAACTAGATTACAAATCCTGTTTAGTTAAATGGACATTTAAACTGTATAAAGTGCTTTATTGATTTCTCCCCACCCTCTTAAAAAAAGGAGTGAACATACCTAGGTAAAGAATGTTGTTGGTTTCTGAAAAGTAAATAGATTTTACCACACATCTTCCATGGTCTTCCATTACTATTGCTGTGAGTCTAGTGAAGATTACAATAAGGCTTACCTTTTAATTTAAAAAACTGAAGACATTGTAGGATTCAAAAGCTACCCAGTTTAATTTATTACGTGATTGATGAAATATTAACAATTTTAATTGTTAGATCTTTCTGGGAAATTAGAGACTTTTTATTATTGATAGATTATATAGTTAGAGCCCTAAAAATGTTGTTTTAAAATTTATTGTATTTAATCTATTCAGAGGCCCAGTTAAGGTTTTTAAACTGCAGATTGAAATTTAACTTGTTAAAAATAGATTCCTGTTTGTTCTGATTCATTTTGGTTTATTCCAGTCATTTAACAAATTTTGCTCAAGTGCTTTCTGTGTGCCAAGTCATTTGGTGAAGATCCCTACCCCTGTGGTCCATATAGTCTACTAAGAGAATATAAACATAAGTGATATAGCATGTCAGAAGGTGTTAGATGCTTTGGAAAATAGAAAAAGTAGAACAGAGTAAGGGGGATAGAGAGTGCTGGGGTCAGGGTGAAGTGGAGGAGACAGATTACAATTTAAAATTGTAATGGGGTAGGTCCAATTTAGAGGGTAACATTTGAAAAAAACATTCAAAGTTGATTGGTGGGTTAGCAGTATGATTTCTATGGAAGGAATATTCAGGCAAAAGAAAGCCACAGCAAATGGCCCCAAGATAGCAGCAGCTTTGATATGCTTGAGGAATTCAAGGATCATCAGAATGGCTGGAGCAGAGTGATTCTAAAGGAAATATGGTAAGAAATGACTAAATCATGTAGGGCTTTAGAACACAGGTGAGATGGGGAACCACTGGAGGAATTTGAGCAGAAGGGTGACTGATCTCACTTTTATTTTAAAGCATCATTCTGACTTTTTTGAGAATAGATTACCTAGAGCACCATGTTGACAATAGTATTGGTGTGGAGAGAGAGGGGACAATTATTGTAGTAATTCTAGCAAGAGACAGAATAACTAGAGAAGTAGTACATGTGCTAAGTAGTCAGATTCTGGATATATTTGGAAGGTAGAAAAAACAGTATTTTCTGAAATATTCAATGTGAAGTATGAAAGGGAGATTTTTCGGTCTGAGCAAATGCAACAATGATGAAACATACTGGGTTTGGAAGATTAGGAATTTGATTTTACATGTTTAATTTGAGATAATCTGTTAGACTTTCTAATGGAAATGTAGAGTAGGCAGTTGGATATATGATTCTGGAGTTCAAGTGAGAGTTCTGAGCTAACACATTACATAGTATATAAATAATTTTGTACTAAGTATAAAATATATAACTCATTCTTTAAATTTTCTTCTATAATAGTGAAAATTATTGATTGAATTTATCTACTATCTACTAGAAGCTCAGTTTCCTACTTAAGAATTTGTAAATTAACAAATCACTTACATTGCTTTAAATTTTGAATGAAGATTGATTAATAAGTATACACAGTGCTATTTATAAGGACTGTAAAAAAAAGGATCATTAGTTGAACACATGCCAAAAATATAAAAATTTTAAAGTGAAAAGGTTATTGAAGACTTCTATAATTTCTTAATAATAACCTCTCATTGCATAAATTTTTGTGAGTCAATCCTAATTGAATTCAGAAAATGAGGGTTTTCTTCTAGAGTTTTTGGGCTTAATTTATTAAAAGTCACACAGATCTTCTAGGATTTTTTTCCCTATGTTTCTTTCAGGAGAAATTTATTATTACCTGGGAAATTGAATTGATTGTCGTTTCTTAGATACTAGATTTTGTATGATTTACACATCTAAGGAATAAGCAATAACTTTTTAAAATTAGTGATACAATGAAGAAAATGGTTATGTCATTTAGTGACATAACAGTGAATTGATTTATGGTGTTCAATATTTTATTTAAAAAGGCTGTTTCTTTTGTTTCACTTATTTAGAAAAGGAAGACCAGTGTCTCGTGCCTGAAGCCTGGAATGTGGACCAGGGAGTAATTACCAAACTCAAGGAACAATACAAAAAGGAGAGAAAGGGGAAAAAGGGGGTGAAGAGTAAGTGGAAAACATTGTATCTGTAAATCATAAATCTTGCCTCTTTTACATCCCCCGATTTTTTTTTTCAGTGTTTTCCTAAAACCACTTACTCTTTTTCTTTTCTGCTCCTGATCTCCTTCCTTTTCATCTGCTCTCAGGGGTTGAAATTAAATGGTTAGCTATTTGAGTATGACCTTAAAAAAAATAAAATAACTATGCATATGATTATGAATCTTAATATATCCCAATAATACATCTAGAGCCTCATGAGAGTTGGGACTTTATATTCAAAACATAGTACTAATTTCATTTTTAAAGTGTATATGCTTAATTACCACAATGATTTTTCATTCTTGATAATTTTAAATCTGATTTAGCATGACCCTCTGGCAATCCACCAAAATTATTGCACTGCATATACTTTTAGGACCTAGAGCTAGAAAGTTAATTTCTACCCCTGAATATTCTATGTGTTCATAACACACAGTTTATTTGCTCTCACCACTATATGCTATACAGGGCACAAGAGTCAAATACACAACTTTTAAAAGTATTTATTTTGTAATTTAAAAATTTTGGTGAATTTCATTTATAGTAATATTACCAATTAGCCTTTTTCTTTTTGATAAGATGTTTACTATATAAAAAATGGGAGCTAAAATGAAATTGCTAGCCCTGTGAATCATATATACATATGTAACTCATTATACAAATTATTAGGTTTAGCAGTAGAGCTAATTAAGTATTAAAGTAGAAATACAGAGGCTTTCAAGCATCCCTGAAAACCCATCTAAAACACCTTTTTAGGAGAGCAAGGCTAAACTATACTTCCTTGTGTTTCTACTTTCATTGACACTATGAACATGGATCTCCCTTTTGTGGCAAGAGGAATTGCATCCTTTGAGATGTTAAAGTAGTATAAAGTAAGATTAATAAAATCCACTTTAGTGAAATATATATTTAAAAGTTGAAAAAAGTAGTGTAGTCATTACTGATAAACTTTTAAATCTTTATTTAAAATATCTTAGGTGTTACAAGTATTTAGCTTGAATGGATAAAAAGTGACTAGTTTTGATGTTATCATTATACCAACTATTAAATAACTGAGAGATGATGTTATTTGATGTCTCCTCAATATAAATTAAATCACAATGAGAAAGATTAATATTAAATTATAAGAGCATTTTGTATCTTTTATCCAAATGTATGAACAAAAAATTTAATCTTAAACCGTAATGAGACATGCTTTATTAGGATTTTTCAGAGCCATGGCAAAATCAGTTCCACTGAAATTTTAATGCAAATATCATAAATGAGAAAATATTTTAAATTTCATATTGGCTTAAAGTTGGTATTTCTTCATGTCTTTATGCTACAATAATGAATGTCTTCAAATGTGAAACATCTCTCAATTGGAAGGGTATCTAGGTCTTATGTAGAATCCATCTACTATTATATTGATTATTCAGTTCTTGTCAAATATCAAGGCATTGCTGTAGTTAGAATTTAGCACCTAAGATCTAAAATGGCACCATTTGACTGGAACAGTATTCCTACTAATGGAAGCTATTGGATTTTCTCAATTTGGGGATTATGATCAGTATGCAGGCAAATAGCATATAGTTTTTTTGGATAAGGAAGAAAATTGACTTCAAGGAGAGAATTTTAAATTGTTTCATTGTGGATAGAGGGACTGCAGAGTGAGGCTCAGCACATCTTGGTCATCGTTATCAGTTCATGTTGTCTTAATAAAACAGTGTTCTGGGAACAGGTGAAGACATGATAGAAACAGAACTGAAGCAGTGCTTTGACTTGTTACATGAAGCATGGATTTATAAATCACCATAAATATTTTTTAATTGAATTAAAAATTATTCTGGAAAAGTTTGAGTCCTTTTGATATGGTCTAGTAGAAATATTTCCAGTCAGATCGTGTACTTCAATCATACTGTCTTGAAATATATTTTTAGATATTAGTTAAAATTGCTTAAAAGTAGTTGTATTCTTTGCTGGTATAGGAAAAAACCATAATGGACTATGGGTAAGATTTTCCCATTCTTAATTAAACTTGTAACAGGAAAAACTACCGAAGATCTGTTTCAGCCTCTATCCTATATAAAACAGTCAAAACAGGGATGTGGGAGAATGAAGAATCAAAGCTCAGGTAAGTAATCAGTAGGGCATGAGACTTCACCTCGGGTACCATAGCTTCAGGATGTAAGGCAATGAATGCAACTTAAACAAACAGAAAGGGATGTTATTGTTTAATTCAGTACACTGTAGCTTCACAATCTGTGGTATCTGCATTTAGAGCAGTATACAGGGATAATAGAATAATATTTTTAATGGTCCAAATTGCACATGAACATTGTTTTTCATGCAAATAGCAGTATTATTCCATTAGCTTAATTTTTAAAACATATGTAAAACATAATTCTTCTCAAGAAATAAACTTAAAATAATTTGAAAACTTGGAAAATACTTTTTAATATGGTAGGGTAGTTTTAAAGGTGAATGTAGGAAGATGTGAATAAGATATGTGGCATCATTTTGATGCAGTTGGATAATTCTATTCTTTTTTGTTCTCTTCCTCCCTTTTTTTGGGTTAGGGCCCAATAGGTCAAAACTACAAGATATGCTTGCTAATTTGAGAGATGTTGATGAACTTCCCTCATTGCAGCCATCTGTGGGTTCACCGTCCAGACCCACGAGCTCCAGGCTTCCTGAACATGAGATAAATAGGGCAGATGAAGGTAAGTATGTAAGACCTCTGGGGGTGCCTAGGTGGCTTCATTCAGTTAAGTGTCTGACTCTTGATTTCAGCTCAGATCGTGATCTCAGGATTGTGAGATTGAGCCTAGTGTGGAACCTGCTTGGGATTCTCTCTTTCTCTCCCTCTGCCTCTCCCCACCATCTCTCTCTGTCTCTCTCCTTCTCCTCTTTAAAAAAAAAAAAAAGAAAAAAAAAAGACACTGGAGCACAAAAAGTACAGGGATATAAATATCTAAGTTCAGGATATACGTATCTAAGAAAAGAATTTTATTTTACAAATGTTTGATCTACATAGCATTTCCAAATGTAGCCTTTCTTACATTCAAGGGGGTTTGATTCCAACTTCAATCTTTTAGACTTGAAAAAGGGTGTGTAAACTTAAAGACCAACTCTAAATTCTAGTTTAGAACATGCCCTGGCTCCACAGAAGCCATGTATTGGTATACATAGGCTGTTTTATTTATCCCATTGCAACAATGAGAAAATTAAGGCTGTAAATAGTAGTAAATGTTTACCCTGAGACTCATATAAATATTTTCAAATGTTTTATTTAAGCAGTTTGTCACTGATAAATGAGAAAGGGAAAAAAGACACCTGAAAGTCTAGTCACATTTTCTGTTTTCTGTTTTTACTTTGTTCCCTTTCAGTCCCTATCTAAATGAGTATACATATATATATATTTTACAAAGTTACAATTCCCAGATAGAATAATTCTATTTTGTTTTATTCACTTAACATCAAACCACAAAAATAAATTATATAATTTATTATATAATTTCATAATTATAACTTTAAGACTACATATTATATTTTACACTTGATACTTAACCATTTCCTTTTTAGAAATTTAGGTTCCTAGGTTTTCATAGTACCATCTTATGGTATATAAATACAGTTCTTTATTTTTTTATTTTTATTTTTTAAAGATTTAGATTTTTAATTTATTTATTCATAGAGATGCAGAGAGAGAGAGAGAGAGAGAGAGAGAGAGAGAGAGGCAGAGACACAGGCAGAGGGAGAAGCAGGCTCCATGCAGAGAGCCTGACGTGGGACTCGATCCAGGGTCTCCAGGATCACGCCCTGGGCTGCAGGTGGCGCTAAACCGCTGCACCACCGGGGCTGCCCCAGTTCTTTCTTTTAGATACAAGTTCTGATTTATCTATTTGTAAATATATAAAATGTTTATATTTAGAAATTGATTTTAATATATATATATTTACATAAGCTAAAAATCTAGTATGACATAAAATAATCTTAATAAATATTTTTCAAAACCTATTTTTAAAAATTGTCTTGAATTGAAATACTGTAGTTATTTGCAGTGAACATATCAGTTCAAGTTATTAATGTTGAACAAAACAGCCAGGGAAAAGCCACAGAAAAATCTTAAATGTTTTTCTTTCTTGGTTTTTAAATTAAACTACATTTTAGAGAGACATAAACCGATAGAACCTTGATGGAGAGACTTATGATTGGAGTAAGTTTTAAATGAAATTTTTGACCATGACATGGTTAGTTATTTGTTAGAGTTAATTATAGTATACTTGGAATTTATTACTTATACATTTAATAACAAAGACATATACGTTACACCTCTATAGTTTTATTTTTATTTTGTACACCTCTGTAGTTTAAATGTACAATTTCTTCGATGTAGACATGTCGTTTGAATTAAAGATGTGAAGTCATGGGCCTCATTAGTTGGGTATGTTTTGTTCATTAGGAGATACATTCACTTCTCACTGTCAGTGTGAGAATTTTAATCAGTTTCATTTATTCTAAGATCATGTCTAGGTAAGGAAAAAGTTAGTTCTTTTATTCTGATAACTACTGAAGAGTTTTATCAGAGACTTCATCTGACAGAATTCTAATAATAGAGGCAGACTAAGTACTATATACTAAATGACAAATGTGCAAAAGTATTACATAAGCCACAGAAAGTGCCCTTGATAGATATTTAAGAACCTTAAAACTGAGGAGTTGAATATCTAACTTACTGTCTATAACGTTGGTCCTAAGCTTTCCTCCTCAGTGAAAGGTTTTCAGCATCGAAAAAGTAGGCAAGAAATATATTGTGTATTTAATTGTCCATGACTGATGCTTCTTGGTTTCCAGTTTGATTTCAGAAAAAACATCTATAGCTCGTATATGCTATAAATGTTATTACTTTTTGTTTTAATAATTCAGAAGACAGAGAGCCATACTTAAGAGGTACAGTTCAGTAATTTTGTAAAAGCTAATTAGAGCTAATGTTTAGATACCAGATAAAATGTCATGTGTAGTCTTAAGTTCTAAGGCATCTTAGATCTAGATCAATCAAGTGAGTTCTGCTCATTGTTGCCCTCTCTCTGGCCTTCACATCTACTGGCTTAGGCAGTGGTGCATGGTAGAAGGAGTTGCTGTCTTCTTTTGTTTTCAGGTTTTACTTGGTCATTTTTAGAGCATTCTTTAAATTAGCCCAAACATTGTACATGCTCACATCCCATGAATCTTAGTCTTTTTTCTTTTTTTTTTTTTAAAGAATCATTTTTATTTCATGCCTGAACAAAGTTGTCTGGAAATAGTAGAAATGAAAACAAACAAACAAAACACCTGGCTGAAGATCCAGCCTCCTAGTCTCATGTGGGTCATTTGGTTGAAATTTTGGCATTAAAATTAATTAAAATTAAAACTTAGACAATCCTCCTTTTCAGTAGTAAATGTTAGAGTTGTTCAGTTGTCTTACCATTGCCTAAGTCAAGAACCAGAACACTACCAGGGCCCTGGAAGTCCTGCCTGTGCTTCAGATCACTGCTCCTTCCTTTGTCTCCAGACATAATCCTGACTTCTAACACCAGCATTAATTTTACCTCATATAGGCATATTTTACAGTTGTAACCACTTTCATTTGAAATTTTATATATTCCTTTAGGTTATAGAATTAAACAGTTTTATTTTGAATGAGACCAGCAGTGTTCAGATCACTTGTTATATATGTTTAATAATTGAAAGAAATAATTTGAGTAATTAACAAGAACTATCAAATGAGGAAAAGCCTTTTTTTTTTGTGAAAAAGAAAGGACAATGATCTATTTGATTTGTTTCATGTTGTACTTTTCTAATTAGATGTTACTTTTAGTTATGGTTAAGATATGGAAAAGGCAGCCAGTTCTGGGGTGCCTAGGGTGGCTAAATCAGTTAAGCACCCTACTCTTGATTTCTGCTCAGGTCAAGATCTCAGGGTCATGGAATTAAGCCCCAGAGTTGGGCTTCTCACTCAGCGGGGAGTCTTTTTCTCCCTCTGCCCCTGCCCCTACTAATGCACACATGTTCTCTCTCTCTCTCTCTCAAATAAATAAATAGAATCTATTAAAAAAAACCCAAACAGCTAGTTCTTCAGGGTTTTCTGCTCACTGAATTTTGTCTAAGAGCATTTAACAGTAATCAAATGTAGATATACCCCTTAAGAGACTAATTGTTTACACTTTAGAAGTTTTTTTTTTTTTTAATGTTTTTTTTGTCTTTCCCCTTCAGTGGAAGCATTGACTTTTCCTCCTTCTTCTGGGAAGTCCTTCATCATGGGAGCAGATGAAGCCCTTGAAAGTGAACTGGGCCTTGGAGAATTGGCAGGCCTTACAGTGGCCAATGAAGCAGACTCACTAACTTATGATGTGAGTCGTGGTTTTATTTTTGTTGCTCTCTTCTCAGTTCTTAAAAATAAAAAGTTTTTAGAAAAAGACAGTGGTAAAACTTCTTCACAAGTATAGAATTTGGTTCCATTTTAATTGCAAACTTTGAAAATATAAAAATATTATAAATGATCGTATTTTTCACATTGCTTAGAGATTAAAATTATTTGCCTAAATCCATAAGTCATTATAGCTTGTTTATTGGTTTTAGATACAGCAAAGAATTCCTTTTCTATTACCAAGTTTGGGTTTTGTGTTTAAGGCTACCAACATAGATGTTTCTTCTTTAGTATATTATCAATGAATACCCTGCCTACAAATGACTTAAGCTATTGTTATAGGCAGGGAGGTCTAGAGGGTTCTTTTCAGATATTAAGGCAGACCCATCAATGATTTGGACCAAAATTGAAATCTTGATGCCTTTATGCATGCATTTACTTAATCCCCAACGCAGTTGTTTATAAATACATTGATAATTGTTAATGACAGTAAATTGTCAGAAAAACAGTTGCTTATTTTATAAAGTGTTTACAGTCTGTCTTATCTCCATTAAAATCCTCTCACTTTGATACTTCATTATCTTTGTTGGAGAACACAGTATAGCTCTTGCCATATAGGATATATAGGATGGATGCTTAAGCAGACTGTGGATATGAGAAGGAAATACTCCAAAGAGCAACTTCACTACTCACTCCTCTTCCTGTAAATCAAAAATTCTCACTCTTTTTGCTAAGTTCATTAGTAAGTCTTTAGGTTCTCCCTCCAAAAATAGCTAAAATCCATAGTTGGGTTTTTGTTTTTAAACCTCCCATCAACTCCAATTCTTCTTCACCTGGAACTATAACAACCTAATTTAAATGGTCTCATTTCCACATATGTGATATGTCCTTTTAAAAAAGTATTTCTGTTTTTAATATCTTTACATTTTATGTCTGTGTATATAAAAACACTCAGTTGACTTTTGTTTTTTTATCAAATCTTTCACAACTTTTTTATTTGGAGCACTGAGGCCATTTCTTTTTAAAGTAATTCTTGATATATTTAGATTTAAGTCCATCATCTATTTGTGCTACCTATTCTGTGTTCCTTTTTCTTCTGTTTTTGCCTATATTCAGATTATTTTTAATTCTTCACCCGTACCCATTATTTGGAGATTATGTACTCTTTCATTACTCTTTTTTATTGTTATTCTAGAGATTACCACACACATCCTTATCAGAATTTTAATGCAAAGACCTTTAAGTCTTTTAACTACTTAAACTCCTACCCTGGGACGCCTGGGTGGCTCAATGGTTGAGCATCTGCCTTTGGCTCAGGTCATGATCCTGGGGTCCTGGGATTGAGTCTCACATCAAGCTCTCCGCAGGGAGTGTACTTCTTTCTCTGCCAATATTTCTGCCTCTCTCTGTCTCTGATGAATAAGTAAATAAAATCTTTAAAAAAAGGAAAAAAAAAGCCTCCTACCCTGAATATATATCATTCTTGTTATGTATTTTCTCTAGACATTTATCTCCTACAAGATAATGTTTTGTACATTCAGTATTCAGTTAGGATTATCCACTTTACGTTACTCATTTTGCTTTATTCTATTCCCCCCTGCACATCTGATTATCCATCTGCGATCACTTTTCTTTTACTCTAAGAACAGTTAATATTTCTCTTTGGTAAAAGTCTGCTGGTGCCCATTTTCTTCAGTTTCTGGTTTTATTACATTGTCTATATTTCGCCTGAGTGGGTTAACTATTACATCTGGTATTAAATTCCAGTTGGCAAGGGTTTTCTTGTTTTGTTTCATTTTTAAGCACTCTAAATATATAATTTCATCTTTTTCCACTGTTGTTTTCTGCTAAAATCAGTCATTTCTATTATTGGACATTGAGTGGTAGTCTGATTTTTTTTTTTCCTCTGACTGATAATCTCCCTATGTCTTGAATGTCAGCTATAGCTTAGTTTTCTTTTTATTTAACCTTCTTGAAGTTCTTAGACCTCCCTGGCTTAATATATTTTTATCAATTTTGTGTGAAATTCTCAGCCATTTATCTTCAAATATTGCTTTTGCGCTTCTTTCTCTCTCTTTTCCTTCTGGAACTCTCTATTGTTGGGTCTTTTTTTTTTCTTTTATAATATTTTATTTATTTATTCATGAGAGAGAGAGAGGCAGAGACACAGGCAGAGGGAGAAGTAGGCTCCCTGCGGGGAGCCCAGTGTGAGACTTGATCCCAGAACCCTGGGATTATGCCCTGAGCCAAAGGCATATGCTCAACTGCTGAACCACCCAGGCATTCCTAAATCTTTCTATATCCTCTCTCCAACTCCCTCTCAGATATTTTCCATCTTTTGTCTTTCATACTTTAGTCTAGATGTTTTTATGATCCATCTTCTGGTTCGCTAATTCTCTCTTCAGTTATGCATATCTGTAATTAAACCCATCTATTAGGTCTTACACTGTTTGCTTCTAGAATTCTTTTTTTAACTGTTTATAGATTTCTTCCAAAATTTACAAGGTTGTCTTTTTTCTTCTTGAACACATTAATTATGATTATGTTTCTGCTCATTTTCATTTATGCTGTATTATCCTGCATATGCATATCCTACACATGCATTTTTTATGTCCAGATAACTATACTTGAAAAGTTGTCTGTAGCAATAACTTCAGGCCTAGAGTAATATCTTCCCTCAGGGAGCATATTTTAATTTGCTTCTCTCGTATCTGTAGTCACTAGAAATCTGGATCATCTCATTCCATTTTCAGTTTTTCAGATAATCTAAAGCTGATCTGTAGTCTTTGTAGGGATTGTATTCTTTTTTTTTTATAAATTTATTTTTTATTGGTGTTCAATTTGCTAACATACATAGAATAACACCCAGTGCTCATCCCCTCAAGTGCCCCACTCAGTGCTCGTCACCCAGTCACCCCCACCCACCTCCCCTTCCACCACCTGTAGTTCATTTCCCAGAGTTAGGAGTCTCTCATGTTCTGTCTCCCTTTCTGATATTTCCCACTCATTTTTTCTCCCTTCCCCTTTATTCCCTTTCACTATTTTTTATATTCCCCAAATGAATGAGCCCATCTAATGTTTGTCCTTCTCCGATTGACTTATTTCACTCAGCATAATACCCTCCAGTTCCATCCACGTCGAAGCAAATGGTGGGTATTTGTTGTTTCTAATGGCTGAGTAATATTCCATTGTATACATAGAACACATCTTCTTTATCCATTCATCTTTCGATGAACACCGAGGCTCCTTCCACAGTTTGGCTATTGTGGACACTGCTGCTAGAAACATCGGGGTGCAGGTGTCCCGGCGTTTCATTGCATCTGTATCTTTGGGGTAAATCCCCAGCAGTGCAATTGCTGGGTCGTAGGGCAGGTCTATTTTTAACTCTTTGAGGAACCTCCACACAGTTTTCCAGAGTGGCTGCACCAGTTCACATTCCCACCAACAGTGTAGGAGGGTTCCCCTTTCTCCACATCCTCTCCAACATTTGTCGTTTCCTGTCTTACTAATTTTCCCCATTCTCACTGGTGTGAGATGGTATCTCATTGTGGTTTTGATTTGTATTTCCCTGATGGCAAGTGATGCGTGGAGCATTGTCTCATGTGCTTGTTGGCCATGTCTATGTCTTCCTCTGTGAGATTTCTGTTCATGTCTCTTGTAGGAATTGTATTCTTATAGTTAACTCTTCTATCTAGAATGCAGCCCTTTGAACTTAAAACCTAAAAAGCAAGAAGGTTCATCAAGCCCCACTTTCTTGGCAGGCACTGAACACCAGTTTGCATCTTCTTGCACTGCACAACTGTCAGAAGCACAGCTTGACCTCTCAGCCATCCCTATGGAATCACTAAACACATTCTGGGAAAAATAAGTCCAAATATTAGGCTTTTTAGAATTCTGTCTTCCTTTGGATTATGGTCTGCTTTTTCTTCACTATCTTGCTGGTTTTGATTTAAAAATTTTTAGCTCTGCTTTTTTACTTGTCCTCAAGTGCATACTTGATCCTAATGATCTAGTCGATCATAGCTAGAAGCAGAAGTTCCCATTAGATTACTTGTGTTCTCTCTATACTAACCCCACAAAGATTTAGTTCAATATGTTATGGAACTCGGTCATGTCATTTTTTTTTTAACATATCTGAGTTAAAAAAACTTAGTATTATATCTGCACTTCTGAAAGTAGTCTCTAGTTCTAATAAACTTGTTGTAATCTATTGCTTTGTGACAAACTGCACCACTTAAAACAACATTTTTTATCATTTCTGGGGGGTCAGCAGTCTGGGATAGCTTAGCTGTGTGGTTCTGGTCTCTCGTAGAGACCAGACAGTCCGAGACAGTCAACATGTAGGCAAGGGTTGCAGTCTTCAATGAAGACTTGACTTGGGGAAGATCTGCCTCCAAGCTCACTCATGTGGTTGTTGGAAGGCCTTGGTTCCTTCCTGGCTATTGGCTTGAGACTAGTTCCACACCACATGGGCCTCTGTGGGTTCCTCAGCATGGCAAACTGGCTTCCTCCAGTGTCAGCAAGAACACTTAAGATGCAAAGTTTTTGCTCTATGTTATTGGTCACAGAGTAATCCTATGATGTAGAAGGGGACTCCACAGGACATAAATATGAGGAGCTAGGGCTAGTTGAGGACCATCTTAGTGGCTGTCTACTACATTAAGACATTCAGAAAGAATAGAATTGTTCTTATATATGAAAATCTTTTAGCTCTTTAATAAGAGCAGACAAGAGTCAACTTAGTTAGTTGCCTGCCCGGTCCCCCCTACCCCCACAAGGATAACCAGCCCCAATTCTTACAGTAGTTCCTTGCATCCTCTGTTTTGTCTTTTTACTGCCCCAATTGTGATATGCTCTATCCAAATTTTTCTGCGAATTTTTAAACTTCTGGGTCCTAAGTTATAGTTTATATTAAGAATGTAATCTCTGAAGCCAGACCGCTTGGATTTGAATTCTGACTCCTCCACTTACTAGAGGACAAGTCACTTAACTTCTCCTTTTCTTATATGTCTAGTCTATAAAGTGGGAATAATGTTAATTCTTTCATAGTTGTTGTGACAGTTAAGTGAGTTAATGCATGTTAAGTTTTTGAAAAATATACAAAATAATGAATAGTGCTTAAAATAGCAGCTATTTTTAGTATCATTGTTTTTGTCTTTGTAAGTATGGTAATATTTCTCCAGTGTTAACAGTATTTGCCCTACTCTTACTTAAACCTAGCATAATTGTTAGTTGTAAAGTTTGAAGAGTTCATATGTGGTGCTAGTGTAAAGTTAAACATGAACTTCTTTGGCTTTACCATTAGTTGGAAATGAAAAAAAAAAGTTGGAATGAGAAAAAATGCATTTTTTTAGTTGTTGGGATGAAGTTTTTGTGGAGAAAAGCAACATGACATGTTCTACGAGTGGAATCTATTGTTTTGTAACATCTGATTGTTTCTTACAGTGTTAACATTTTATGTTTCCAGTTTATAAATCTTGTTCCAATTTCATGAAGAAAATTTGGGTCTTTGTAGAAAGTATTGAAAATCTCAGAAGTATGATTGTATTCTATAATGTTAACAGGTTTAAAGGTAACTTAGTTTTTCAGTTCTGATCCCAGATTAGTTTCTATTCTATAATTTAGGTTGAAATCTTATCTTTTTTTTAAGTCATCCCAGTGAAGATCTATTTTATGTTATTTTCTTTCAATGTTGAATTGTTACCTGTTTTCTTGTTACAGGATTCATATTTCTTCAAAGAAAAGCACTGTTGGCATATTAATTTTGTCTATTGATTTGATTATATACATTTAGAAATTATATTGTTTTGAAAGTTGCAAAACGTGATGACTTAATGGCAAATCAGCAAGAATTAATGTTGAAATATACTTTTTTTCCTGTCCTGAACTAAATGTATGGGTGTATTTCTTTTGTTTCTTTAATAGATAGCAAATAATAAAGATGCATTGAGGAAGACGTGGAACCCTAAGTTTACATTACGAAGTCACTTTGATGGCATTCGAGCCCTTGCTTTCCACCCCATTGAGCCTGTTTTGATAACAGCATCAGAGGATCACACATTAAAAATGTGGAATTTGCAGAAAACAGCTCCAGCCAAAAAGTGAGAATATTCTATTTTAACTGTATTTGAGTATTTTAATTATTAGTTTTTCAGCAGAAAAAATGCTCAAATTATTTGCTATTAAATTTCTCAAGTATCTCTTCTAGTTCTTCTTTACCTTGTCACATAATTAGAATTTTTTCCCTCATACTCACAATCTGATATTAGGTTGGAAAACTGACACTGAGAGAGAGATGGTATTATCTGATAGTTTCCCAGAGCTTCTGAATGCTGTTTACAATCCTTATACAGTGTTTTAAATGGTTGTCATATTTGTGGAGTCCCTTATCTGTACTGAAGATTTCTACTGTTATAAAGAGGTGTAGGCATGTTCAGAATCCTCAAACCCCACCCCAACACCATCCTATTGTTTATTAGGTTTGAGCTTAGGGTGTAGAAGGGAAGGAAGGCTGATTGAGAGGGGTGAAGGACTTCTCTTTGGTTTTGTCTTTTTGCCTTGATCCCATTAGGCACTTTTCATATCCACAAAAGGTATAGTTGGAATGGCAGCATTGTTGCTGTCACTTACCTGCCAGCTCTTGGTCCCTTCGTTCCTCTGTAAGCATGAACAGACATGGGTTGGTATAGACGCTTTTATCAGTCACCAAACTAGTCTTAGCCCCACTTGCTGGGGTGCTTACAGGGAGTCCCTGTCCTTGTGTCCTTGAATCTGGTGGTCTAGAACCCAGTATGTGCCCACAAGGGCCTTTCTCCAGTGTCAGACAGTTTTATTATTAGAAGAGTAGAAGTAAATGTGAACTGGAGGAGATTACGGAAGTTTTATTACTGATAGAGGATAGCTGTTGCTGAATTTGAGAGATCAGTGACATTCCCGCTGTGAGTCATCTGTAGTCTAGATAAAATACTTGATTTCTTGATATATCCCTCCTCTTCAGATAGCTCAACCAGATCTTGCTGACACCAAGAGAATCCTTATATGGATCAGATATCTTCAGCAGAGAAAAATTATTTCTTAGTTATAAATTGTGCCTTTTGTCTTTCTATTTCTCTGGTTACAGTGTGCATCTCATTAGATCAGAGAATGTGAATGTCTCATATATTCTTGACTAAAACTTAGAAAAATATTGAAACAAGTTTCTTGCTGGTGATAGCTTAGTAATAATACCTTCCCATGGTCTGTGACATTAACAGACATTAACATGGTCTGTTTACCTTGAGCTTAACATTTTGGAAATGCTTGAGGAGAGAAAGCATATGCCTATAAAAAGCTTCAATACAATATAAGAGATGGTAAATAGTTGACTTTAAATCCAGTTTCAATTTACAGTCATGGCCGGTATTAGGCAATGTAGAGTATCAATACATTCAGTGTTCTGAATACTGAATAAACTGATGACTGGGACAATTTGTCCAAGTATCAAAGACAGACATATTAGCATTGATGGAAATGCAAAGAAATTAAAGTACCATTTATTGAAATCCCTACTGTGTGCATGGTTCTGTCCTAGGCTGTTTTACTTACAGAATTTCATTTAATCCTGTACTTGATATTATCCCAGTTTTTCTGTTTTGTTTTAAATAGAGAGGAATCTGAAGTTTCAAAAGAATAGATATTTTGCCTAGAGTTAGCCAGTTGTTTGATTCCAGAAATTTATCTCCTCAAAGCCCATGCTGTTTTCTGAGTGTGGTTCTCTCAAATAGTCAAATAGACTATGACAATGCTAAGAGCACTATAATCAGGTATTATTACTAAACAAGGATTTTGTTTCCTAAGGCCACAGAAATATGTGATTGGTGTCAGGTAAACTTTCCTAAGTGTCCTAGGTTGAGAATGGTATATTACTACAGTGTTGGTATTTCTAAAGGCAATTTTGCAGCATATATTCATTAATACTGTTTACTACTGAAACTTGGAGTGGTAAAAGTCCTCTCTCTCTGATTTAGGAGTACTTCTCTTGATGTGGAACCTATTTATACATTCAGGGCTCATAAGTAAGTATGTGCTTTTTCTCTGTTTTCAGTCAGCATCACTGTATATCAGCCTGATTATTTTCTTTCACTTGAGTATTTATGTTACATATTTTTTTGTATTTAGTAGCATTTTTGTTTGGTTTTGTTTGGGTTTTTTTTCTGGCAAATGTAAAAGAAACTGGCAGATAATGCAGTGTTAAAAACAACTTTATTCCTACCAGAGATCCTTGCTGAAATTAGATTTTATTTGGATGATGTTTAAAATGTTACATATCTTGTGCTTAAAATATGTTGATGCAATAAGGTCTATATATTAAAAATCCTGACCTTTTTTTCCCTTAAAGATAATCTAGGTAAAAATATGAAGAATTTTTAAATAATGATAATATTGCATGCTTTTCCTATTTTCATGTAAGCTTAAGAAATACACTAACTCACTTGATTTAGCACAGAGATTGGCATGGTTTTTATATAAAGGGTCAGATAGTAAATACTTTTTCAGCTTTGTAGGCCATATATTTTCTGTTGTATATTCTTGTTTTTAGCTTAGTTTAATTACCCCTTAAAAAATGTAAAAACCATTCTTAGCTTGAGATCTGTATAAAGACTGCCTGCCTTTGGCCCACAGGCTATAGTTTGCCAATCTCTGGTTTAGCAGAAAAAAAAATGAGCAATGCCTTTATAGTATTTTTATTCATTGTAAAAAGCAGAAAAATAGCCATATGAATAATTAAGCATTCTTATTTCTAACAAGTCCTATTATCAGATTGATTTTTGGGAATAGAAATTGATTTTTATCTCCCAGAGGTCCAGTGCTTTGTGTGGTAATGAGCAGCAATGGTGAGCAGTGTTACAGTGGTGGTACTGATGGACTGATCCAGGGCTGGAATACCACCAACCCCAACATTGATCCCTATGACTCTTATGGTAGGTGTTTCCCCGAAGATATGAAAGAATAAATTGTTTTCTTTTTACACATTTTCCATAGCATATACAAGGATAAAATGAGATATTTTTAAAAGTAAATTGGTAAAAGAGAATAAGGTCTTTATTTTGTTAAAAAGGATTCTTGTATTTAGGAATTAATTTGATATATAATGCTAAAAGAAAAAAAAATGTTATTCCCGAAAAAGCAGTTTCTACCGCTCCCCTCCAAAGTTTTATTGATTGGAAATGCTGGCTTGATTGACAATTGTTTTTTTCATTTTATAGGCATCTGTACACTATTTGATAGATTATTACTAATCTGTAATCATGTTTCATTACTATTCTTGACAAATAACTGAAGGAAAATGAATGTTGGCATCATCTTGATCAATTATTGGAGTGTGTAGAGGTTAATGATGTCATGGTTTAAACTCCATGACACCAAAATACTTGAAAAGCCTTAAAAAGTAAGAAGTGCCCCTTTTTAGTCTTGGGAACAGTACCATGAAACATAAATCCACATTATAATCTATAACTATATGTTACCATTAATTAATTCTCTTGCAAAAACTGTCTAGGAATTGACTATGTTGGCTTCCTCTTACGTTCTTTCTTAAATTCTAGAATGGAGTGTCATATATGTCCTAAAACCATATTTATTTTCATTTTCACTTTAGATTAATTTTACTACCAAACCTAAGAAATTCAATAAAAATTTTTTTTCCCAACATTTATTTAATAAGCAGTTAACATATCTTTTGTGAAAGATAAACCCCCTTTGTGTTTTTCCTTACTTCCTTTATCTCTCTGTCAAGAGGATCAGTTGTCTTCATTCTGTCCCAGGCCAACCAGTTCTTCCCCTTTTGCTCTTGACCTCATTCTCTCTTGTTTCTGGTGAGACTGAACTTGATTCTCTTGCTCTGTTTCTTTTTTCTTTTTTTTAATTTCTTTCTTTCTTTCTTTCTTTCTTTCTTTCTTTCTTTCTTTCTTTCTTTCTTTCATTCATTCATTTATTTATGAATGATAGTCACAGAGAGAGAGAGAGGCAGAGACACAGGCAGAGGGAGAAGCAGGCTCTATGCACCGGGAGCCCGATGTGGGATTCGATCCCGGGTCTCCAGGATCGCGCCCTGGGCCAAAGGCAGGCGCTAAACCGCTGCGCCACCCAGGGATCCCGTCTTGCTCTGTTTCAATCTCATCTTAAGCCTCGCCCTCTTTTCTTTTTATCCCCTCAGCATATAAGTAAATTCAGGTAACTCCTATTGTGGGCAAAGGAAAGCCTTTTCTTGATTCCATTTTCCTGTGTGTGGCCTTTTCTTCATCATCTGTCTCTGGTGGTAATGACTAGAAAACGCAATCAAGAGTTACTAATTCCATGTCCTTTCCTTGTGCATCATCACTGTGCATTCTGTCATCTGGTTGTACCACTTAAATATAAGATTATCAGTTACTCCCTAATTGGCTGATCCAAGAAGTATTTTACAGTCTTTATTTTGCTAGATATATTGGCTATCTGAAACTGTAGATTATTCCATCCTTTTGGAAATGTGTCCACTATTGGCTTTTTTGACATTTAAGTCTGTGACAATTTCTGTCTCCTATCCTTCCTAAACTTTTATTTTTCCCGCCATAGATATTGGCATTTATCAAGGCCCAGAACCTATTCATTCTTTGCTTTGTACACATATTTTTTGGTAGACTGAATCTACTTCTATGGTTTTGCATGCTGTTGACTCATAAATCTCTTCTTTAAGCCTCACACTGCCTACAGAACATTTCAAAGTGGCCACCTCATTGTCCATAAATTCCCCACAAGTGTTGTGTTTCTTCTCCCATATATTCTTTATTAGTGGTGGCACCACCAAAATTACCCAAACTAGAAACCTACAAGTTATCCTTTTTGTCTTGTTCTGTTTACTATCCACACCTTATTAATTACCTAGTCTTTTTTATATTACCCCCTAAATATTTCTTGAATTTACCCTTTCTGTTTTGCCTCTTTTGCCACTGTCCTCTCTTGGGTCTACATCATCATTCTCCCAGTCTACTGAAGCAGTCCTGTTGCCTTCATCTTGATTCTCTCCAGTCTGTCTTCTGCACTACAGTGAAAGCTACCATATTAAATACTTAAACCTACTGCTCCTCAAAAACCCTTCAGTGGTTCATTTTGCTTTCAGAATAATTTCCAAGTACCTTAATATGTTGTAGAAATTCTACTTTAGGGGCACCTGAGTGGCTCAGTGGTTGAGCATCTGCCTTTGGCTCAGGGCATAATCCCGGGGTCTTGGGATCGAGTCCCACATGGGGCCCCCCGCAGGAAGCCTGCTTCTCCCTCTGCCTATGTCTCTGCCTCTCTCTGTCTCTCATGAATAAATAAATAAAATCTTAAAAAAAAAAGAAATCCTACCTTAATCTAGTTACTTGCATCTCTTCTACTTCCTACCTTAAACTTCATGCTTCAGTAATGCTGATAAATTCCCTCACATGTCCTGCTTTCTGCCCTTTTATGATTTTGTTGGTACTGCCTTCTTTGCCAGCAGTGGGTTCCCTCTAGCTTTTGAGTGGCCAATGGCTATATATTTGAGGTGCCGTTCTCCCCAGGAAGCTCTCACTCACTCCAGTTACTCTCCATGGAAACTGGTGTCTGTCAACGATTATTGTACTTACCACAGTGTCTTTGGAGACAAAGATAGTACTGTGTCTTAGTTATCTGGGTGGCCCCAGCACCTAGCATCATGCCTGACACATTGTGTCTTCAATAAATATTTTATGGTATGACAGAGAGAGGCTAGAGGACAGATAACATTATTGACATTTTAAGCCTAATGTGTGAGCCATCTTGAAAGTACTGCTTCATAGAGTCACCGTGAGGAGTAATAAAGTTTCCAATATGACTTTTATTATGAAACGGTGGTAAGTGATCCTCCTTCCTCCTACTCCTTCCCTATTATACACATTATTACTGTTTGAGGATTTGGGGGTTCCTCTAGGCCTCAGTTCCTGTCTATTAGGAATAGCAGAGGTCTGGTGCTCCCAGGAATAACCACCATTCATAGTAAGAAGGGACAAGAGTGGAAGTGGCCTGAGAGAGCCCAGGGGAGGAAGGGATCCCTCTTCACTTCTTAGGGAAGAGTGGTGGCTTCACTGAAGGTAGATAAAATTCACGTGATGTGTGTTAACCTGCCTTTTAAAAAAATCTAAACAAATAGAAAAAAAGGGAGAAGTGAGGGAAATACCTAATTTTTTTAAGGAGAGAAATATATACTTTAAAATTTTAACTTATAAACTCTAGACTCTACATTTGCATATTTCCAAGCCTATTTCTGGTTATAGCTGCATTTCAGAAGAATACTAGAAACTAGGAAGCATGTTTTATACTGTTCTCAGGTACTCTTTTTTCTGTATATTTAGTTTCTCTGGGACCTAAGTACCATTTTGATTTTTTTTTTTCTCTTGACTTTGTATTCTTGCTGTTTTGTACAGATCCTTCTGTTTTAAGAGGCCCTCTGCTGGGTCACACTGATGCAGTCTGGGGCTTGGCTTACAGTGCAGCACATCAGCGTTTGTTGTCCTGTTCAGCAGATGGCACTCTCCGTTTATGGAATACAACTGAGGTTGCTCCAGCCCTAAGTGTATTTAATGATAATCAAGGTACATACTTTTAAAAAATTATTCTAATGAATCTTTTATAAAACCTCTAATCCAACAACAAGCAAATAAGTAGGTAAATGATTCTACAAGCTGTTACAGTCTAGGTTTAATTTTAAGGGGTGTGTTTAAGCAATGAAAGTATATTTGCTTGAATTTCCAACTTAGTGATTCTTAAAAGCACAGTATTTGGTGAAATAGCACACATTAAAAATTGTTTTAAAAAATCGAGATATTATTTATATACAGTAAAAGCCAGATATTAAGGATACATTTTATTGAGTTTGACAGATACATCACTTTTCCACCTATCAAAGTCTAGAACATTTCTTTCACTTTTTTAGAGTTTCTTTGTGTCCTTCCCAGTCCCTCTTCCTGTTCTCAGTCAGGGCTGTGATTTCTTTCATCATAGATAGGTTTTATCTGTTCTAAAATTTCATATAAATGAAATCATACAATGTATACTCTTCTTGTATCTGACTTTTTACTCTATAACGTTTCTGTGATTCATCCATGTTCTAGTAAGTATTTTTATGTGTAATAGTATTTCATTAAATCAGTATATGTGTTTCTTTACCTCTTGATGGACATGTGGGTTGTTTCCAGTTTTTGACTATTATGATCAAAGCTGCAGTGAACATTCATGTATTTTTTATGAGCTAATAAAGAACTAAAAGTAGAATTGCTGGGTATTAGAAGTGGTATTATGCATTTATCTTTATGTGAAATTGCCAAGCCAATTTCCAAAGTGGTTTTGCCATTTTATATCACTGACAGCAATGTGTGAGAATTCAGTTGCTTTACGTCCTTAATTATTTTTTTTTTCATGTTTCTTTAGGCCCCTTTATTTATTTATTTTTTTTTATAAATTAATTTTTATTGGTGTTCAATTTACCAACATAGAGAATAACTTTACGTCCTTAATTATTAATATCTGGTGTTGTCAGTATCTTTAGTTTTAGCCATTCTGGTGGGTTCTTAGCAGTATTTCATTGTGGTTTTAATTTGCATTAGTTCGGTGGCTAATTATTTTGAGCCTCTTTTTGTGTACTCATTAGCCATTAATATATCTTCTTCTGTAACATACACATTTTTGAACTGTTTCCTTACTTTAGATTTTGAGCCAATATATTTATGTATACATATTCTATTCTGTTTATAAATACACTCCAAATTTTACCAAGTTTTACCATATTCTAAATGATAGATAAAAAATACCTTCTTTATCCCTCTGGGTTCTGATGAGTTGCCTGCCTCTGATATTTGTATGATTCTACATACAATAACAATAATAATAATAATAATAATAATAATAATAATACTTTGAAATTAGAATTCCTAATAAGAAATAGGCTTTTAAAATAAAGAATTTCCACGATGCTGCTTTAAACCTCAGGTTAGGTGGAAGCAACAAAACTTGTAGTCCATACATGTTTTCCATTTATTTACTTAGTAAAGGCTTGAATTCTATTAATATTTTAGCTGAGTAACAGGTAGAAGACCTGCTGAACAGGTAATACAATAAAATAGGGCTAAAAGTAGCAAAAGAAGTAATCTCCATTGAATGGCTATGAGCTAATTTTTATTCTAATGTTGAGTCTTCTTCTTAAGGAAATCTCGTGACTATTTGTTTTGCTATATTAATAAGGACATTTTCAAGTAGATCCTCTGAACGCCATTCTCTGAATATGTTTTGCATCTCTTAGAATTGGGAATCCCTGCCTCTGTGGATCTGGTGAGCAGTGACCCAAGCCATATGGTAGCATCATTCAGCAAAGGATATACAAGCATCTTTAACATGGAAACACAACAGCGCATTCTCACTTTAGAATCCAACCCAGATTCAGGTATGTATTCCAACTTAGTCTTTGTTTGGATCAATTTTTTTTTTAAAGATTTTATTTATTTATTCATAGAGACAGAGAGAGACAGAGACAGAGACACCTGCAGAGGGAGAAGCAGGCTCCATGCAGGGAGCCCGACATGGGACTCCATCCTGGGTCTCCGGGATCACGCCCTGGACTGAAGGTGGCGCTAAACCACTGAGCCACCCGGGCTGCTCTGGATCAAAATTTTAAGTTTTATTAGAATCATAACTGCCAGAGTCAACTACAAAAAATACTTGTTATTATAAAGAGTTCTGCCTTTTAAATCACAGAACACAGTTGATTTTAAGACTTTGGGCTGTTTATGCACATTTGTAACTGAACTATTCGGAATAGCAATTGAGCTATTCCAAAGAGGAGTCAAGTTTTATTTTATACCAAATGATTAGTTTTCAATTCTATTTGAAGAAAATAATATTTATTCTGAATATAAAATAAGTCTTTTTCATTTCTAAGTTTCATTTTCTAAATCAACTTAATTTTGTATTAATAATGTAATTTGACATAGCCTATTAGAACTTAATTTTTTATTAGTAATGTAATTTGACACAGCCTGATTAGAATGTAGATCAAGTTTTGCCTTTCAGAATCTCAAATATGGAGCTTCTTATTGGATACTAGAAAATCAGGAAATAATTTCTCAGATTGTGAAGAAGAGTCTTTTTGGTTTTTGGTTTTTTTAACCATTGCTTTCTATCTTTAGGCTTCATCTAGGCAGTGATAGTTTAGGTTGCAGTTGATAAAGAAAACTGTGTACACAGGTACTGTTTTAGTCTGAGAACTAGCTTTAAAAAGAATTACTGCAGTGTGCACATGTCTCTCTGTGTGTATATGTCTCTCTCCCTCTCCCTGTACTCCTTTTCTCTCAAAAATTTATCTCGTGTGTGTGTGTTTGTCTGTCTCTCTCTCCCTCTACTCCTTTTCTCTCAAAAATTTCCCTCATTCCATTTTGGCTTTCTTAGTTTTCTCTTCCCAGTCCATTGTCCTTTGTTCTTTCCTGAGGTCCTGTGAGAATTGTTTGGGAAGTAGACATTAATAGAATTTTGAACTATTTGGATGTAAAAGAGAGAGACAAAAAATATGAGATTATGGAATAGGAATAAGAGAATTTCTTTTGCCAAGAAATACAAGTTTTAGGCTCTCAGTAAATTTAAAGCCATTTTAAATATATGACCTAAAGTTACAGGAGTAAAATACAGAAAACAATATAAAACTAAGAAAAATGTGAATGTTTTTGGAATTACCTCGAGATTGGTCTATTCTTTGGATGTCCTGCCTGAGTGGTAAATAATTGATTTTTAATGACTGCTATAAATTAATAAGATGTCAAGTCTGGTGGATGAGATGGATAAACTGAGCTAGGCAATCCCATTTTATCCCTAAAGCATATGACTATAAAGTCATAGATCTTTTTGCCCTATACTGGAAACATTTTCTGAAGAAAACTGCCAAAGATGTTTTGAACAAAGGCAGCATTATTGGAGTAATTGATATTTATTTTGAGTTATAATATGTCTTGACATTTCCTAAATTATCAGTTTTATTACTTTAGAGTTGTATAGAGCAGATTTAATTTAGTCTTTTATTCCTTTCTACCATGACTACCCCTATTTATATTTGACTACATTGTTCTTTTCTGGAATTTAGCAGGTGTTTTTTTTTGAATTAAAGTTCTGACCAAAAACATGTTTCAAGGTGAAAGTAAATTTCTTATAGAGTTTAAAAGGGTGAAGGATTTTTGTTTTAAAAATCAGAATAAACTAGCTTTCTATTCTTTAATGTCAGTGGTGATTTGACTGAAAAACTCATCATAGGTAGTTGAAGCAGGTAATTGAGTACTTTTGATCCAGTGAAAAGTAAAGCATTTCTAAGTTGTGAGCTGAATATGAATACTTGGAGGATTTAGATTCATTGTTAGAATGATGCTTGTAGGCCTTCAATTGATTTTTAGTGTTCTTTGCATTTTGCTTACTTTCTGATTTACCATTAAGTGGAGACATGTCCTTAAAGGTATTATTAAATAAAAACTCTTTTACCTGCTTCCATCTTTTGATTTCTATCATAATTATTTTCTAGATCACAACACAATTCTCAGAAACCTCTTTCTCAGAATACATGGGATATTTTCCTTAAAGTATTTTTTTTCTGTTGTTACTTTCCTGCTAGATCTTACAGAGGATATTGCTCAATGGTGTGTTATCTCCGGAGGGGGGAAAAATCTAGGCTGACTTTTGAAACTAAACTCTTTGTTTAGGACCATTTAAATTGAGTATAACTGACCCAGAGCTTACTCTACATGGTCAATGACTGTTTTTTTTTTATTCTTACAGAACAGGCTGGATGGGCCCTTGCCATTAACACTGGGAAAAGACTATCTTCAGTTTTTAAGATGTCATATTTTTAGGAACCACAAGAAAATCCAATAGAGTACACTTAATATTACAGCTATTTTTACCAAAATTATCTATATTTTCCATTATGTGAATATAAATTCATAATAACTATTCTAAGATTTAAAAAATTGTATCTCTTTTTGCAAATAATTTTAAATATTTGGAAAAGCTTCAAAAATAGTACAAAAACTAGCCACTAGCCACCCTTCATCCAGATTCAGTTTTTAGCATTTTGCACATTGTGACATTTGCTTTATCATTCTCTGTATATGTATATAATTTTTGATTCTGAACCACTTAAGAGACATCATAACACTGTGTAGAGCCCTAGAGCCTTTAGCGTGTAATTCCTAAGAATAAGGACATTGTGGGGACGCCTAGGTGGCTCAGCAGTTGAGGGTCTGCCTTTGGCTTAGGGCATGATCCCAGTTCAGGGATCGAGTCCTATGTCAGGTTCCCTGTGAGGGCCCTGCTTCTCCAGAATTCTGCCTATGTCTCTGCCTCTCTCTGTGTCTCTCATGAATAAATAAATAAAATCTTTAAAAAAAAAAAAAAAGACATTCTTTGACATAGCATATAATCAAAATCAGGAAATTTAACAGTAACAAAATGCTATTGTCTAAATTATCAAATTCAAATTATTATATTCAAATTTGCCAGATCTCCCAATAATGTGCTTTATAAGAAGGTCATCCCTTCCTCTCCCTGGACCATGACATGATTATTTTAACTTTGACATATCTTTAGTGTTACCTTTATATATAGTTTTTTCCTTGAAAAAAAAAAAAGGGGGGGGGGTCTTAACAAAACTTACTAATTAAAAGGGTTTTTTAATGATTGATTTCCTTTTGATAAAAGACTTTCAGAAGGACCTGTGATAGTTTAGGTACCATTTTTGGCAGTAGTGTGATTTGCATGAGCCATCTAATATTGGTACTGGCTTTGTCACATGATTTTGGGGGAGTCACAACTTTTTCTAGACCTTGGTTCATACACTGTGATAAGGACCTAAGGACATGTGGCCTGCCTGTCTCATTGTGCATATAATTGAAATTCTTTAAAGTTACTATATTTACTATATAGTGCACATAATAGTCAGGATGCTGTTTTAAGATTCCAAACATGATAGACTGTTAAATGATGACCATTTCTATTTTTTTTTAAGATTTTATTTATTTTAGAGGGAGCGTGTGTGCACATGTGCACACGCAAGTTTTGGGGGAGGAGTAGGAGGAGGGGGAGAGAGAAAGAATCTCGAGCAGAGTCTGCACTGAGCCTGACACAGCGCTAAATCTCACCACCCTGAGATCATGACCTGAGCCAAAATCAAGAGTTGGACACAACTGACTCAGCCACCCAGCTGCCCCGATGACCATTTCTATTACGAGAAAGAAATTGAAGAGGTCAGAAGCTCTCTTTGTCATATTTGTCTTCAGATAATAACTATGTGATAAAGAGCTCTGTATCGGGCAGCCCCGGTGGCCGAGCAGTTTAGTGCCGCCTTCAGCCTGGGGTGTGATCCTGGAGACCCGGAATCGAGTCCCACATCAGTCTCCCTGCATGGAGCCTGTTTCTCCCTCTGCCTGTGTCTCTGCCTCTCTCTCTCTCTCTCTCTCTCTCTCTCTCTCTCTCTCTCTCTCTCTCTCTGTGTGTGTGTGTCTGCCATGAATGAATAAATAGATAAAATCTTAAAAAAATGCTCTGTATCTAGAAAGAGATTTAAATTTGAGTATCATCTACATGTAAGTAATGATGGAACTTTATTAAAGCAGTAGAAGTATCGCAGATGATCAGAGAATGAGATATGTCAGTGACCCTAGGCTAAAGCCTGGTTGGCCCCCATTGATTGCAGGTGGAAAAGAAAATTCTCGTTTGTGGGTACTTCTATATTTGTTAGTATGGTATTGCTCAGGCAGTTCTTTTCTAAAACATTAAAATTATAAATAGTCACAGAATAAATGAACTAAAAACAAATTAAAGTCAAATCATTTACTTTTTTAGTCTCCTAGGTGAGTATTCCGTTCCCTTGTGTGAAGAAATTAGTAGTTTTGACTAACTTTGTTGCTCTTTTTTTCTTTTTTGCAGCCAGTTCTTCCTGCCAAATAAATAGAGTCATCAGCCATCCCACTCTTCCCATCAGCATCACTGCTCATGAAGACAGGCACATCAAATTCTATGATAACAATACAGGTAAGTGTTTTGCAAAGTGATCAGTGATAAAGCAAAAACAAAAAACAAAAAAACACAAACCCCACTATAAGTATGCTGATTTGGTTGTCTCTTAGTGGCTGCATAGTCCAAGAGTAGGCATGAACAGATATAGACACTCCCAGCTCAATTTCTGTTTAATCTGTCCAAATCTTCTAAGAACTAGTCTTCATGGTACTATATAGAATCATCTTGGTTTATTTAATAAGTAGATACTATGTTTTGTCCCTAGAGTCAAGGTTATGAATAGGGACACAATGAAAAGGTCATTCAAATAGCAATAAAACTGATCTCTTGCTGTGAATATATTGGGAAAAAGTAGAAACATGTTGGAAGTAGAGGCATATGATCATTCTATCATATTTTGTTTAAAATTGTTCAGTGTTTGCATAGCCTTAGTATTGGAGTTGGAAACCCAAGTCATTTGGTTAACTTGATTTGATGTCCCGTGGACAACTCTTTTCTGTATTATTATATTGACTGTCTGGTTCTGACTGATTTGAATTAGGATGTGTGGGCTTTCCCATTTTTTTTATTGAATTGCATTTCACTAGTTTAAAAGAAATTCCTGAAGAGCTGTGTTGATAGGAGAACACTCCATATTATCAGCCAAATTTACCTGAGTATCTACTGTTGACTTTTGCTGACTTTGCTTAGCTGTGAGTGATGAGTAATTTAATATTTTAATCCCTTCCTATATGTTATTTCCACCAAAACTGTGGCCAGATTTTCTCTGTTCCTTTATCTTTGTCTCAGTCTCTTCTGTTCTCACAACCCATATAATTTATCTGTAGCTAAAGGATGCAAAGTAGCTGTTTAGTAATGTCTGAGTTAATGAACATGACTCAAAGAATATTTGTGTACAAATGACTAACTTTTATATTGTTATTTGGAAGACAAAAATATAATCTGAAATTTGAGCTTTTGTTTTTCTTCGTTACCATGGCTAGAGTGGGGAGGGAGACACATTGTTGAGCTGTGATGGAAAAAGCTATTAATGCAGTAAGTATTCAGAGAGGTGACTGGAGAAATCAGTGTAACGTGGTAGCTGGCATATATTTCAGGAGAAGGAAAACTATTAATAAAGAGCAATAATCTCTTTTTTCCAAAGGCAAACTCATCCACTCCATGGTAGCCCATCTAGAAGCTGTTACAAGTCTAGCAGTTGACCCTAATGGCTTGTACTTGATGTCTGGCAGTAAGTACATCAACTATGGATTACTTATTTATCCTTGTTATTTTCATGTTAATGTAATATTTCCTTTCAATTTCTTTTCTTTTTTTTTTCCTTTTGATGCAGGTCATGACTGTTCAATACGTTTATGGAACCTAGAAAGTAAGACATGTATCCAAGAGTTCACAGCTCATCGGAAAAAGTTTGAAGAATCAATTCATGATGTAGCTTTCCATCCATCCAAATGCTATATAGCCAGTGCTGGGGCTGATGCACTGGCTAAAGTCTTTGTATGACACAATGCATCATCTTCACCTTCTAGCTCTTTATAAATAATCAACTGCACAAAAGAGATACAGAAGACCAGGGCAAGAATCAACCTTTCCTGCCCTTTTGTTCTGCTGAAGGAGCACAGAGAACATTTGTTAAAGTATAGTTTTGCAATTCGTATACTGTTTTCTAAAACTAAGGTTTGTTCAGGTTGCTGCAAGCTCAGCTGAATCTGTGAGCCTGAAAACTGTTTCAAATTTTCCCCCAAATAGGAGCTTTTATTTCTGAGGTTGTTCTAATTCGCTAGGCAGGCCTGAGCGAACATAAGTTTAGCTTGTCCCTATTGAGTAAATAGGGCATGCTATAAGGGATAATTAAAAAGCTTGATGACTGGGAATGAGTAGAGGAAGAACAGAAATTTAGACCTAGCTCTCCCCTGAGAATCTTGTTAAACACATTAGGTAGTCAAAACAGTAATCTTTACCATATCTGCTGTACTAACCCCTATGTGCGTAATGACCAGGCAGTGTTAAAATGAGTTTTTAATTTAGCTCTCCTTTCATCTGTGCACATAAAGCACCTGGCAAAGCATTTTACCTATTAGGGGAAAAAAAAAGAAATGCAATAATATGTTAAATATATTATTATTCAGAAATACTAAACAAATATTTAGTTTGTAAGCAGATTTCTATATTGTATTACATTTTTGAAAATAGATTTGGTACCATTGTAAAGTTTAGCTGTCAAAAACAGTCACCGTTATGAATAGTTGATAGAGTCTGCTTTTACTAATGGGTTTAACTTATTCAAGTTTGAGATTCTGTTTATTTTTAAGGGCAGGCAGGGCATATCTTTATAATACTCTCTGTTAATTTTAAAATTCACTTTATTCATGTGATATTTATAGTACCAGAATGGTTATCTCCTATCGATGAAATCAGACCTTTCAGTGGTTGAAAAGTTGGAAGTTATCTGTGAGTACTCACATTGGTCAAAACCCACAAACCATGCTTCAGATGACCTCTTGCTCTTTGTCTCTCATGTTCAAATTATCTGACATCTACCAAAAACAGTTTAAAATTATTATGTTTTAACAACCCAAAGGGTTTGGTTAATGTCAGGCAGCTGTCTTTGCTGGACTAAATAAAGCAACTCTTTTGTACCCCAGAAGTCCTCCATTAATATATTCAATAAGTGGAATCTGGAAATCTGGATGGAAGAGTTTGGTGCATAACTTTGGCTAAAGAGTTCTCGTTCTCTTTCCCTTCCCCTACTTCTCTTCCATTCCTTAATTGGAAAACCCAGAGTATTTTAATAGGCAATATATCAATATCATTTCTGGAGAATATTGTCATAAAGGACCAGGCTTCCCTGAGCTCACCTATCCTGTGACCTACATGTCTTGGGATTCCCATAACCCCACTCTTTGGACTGAATATATAGACATCATCCCTACAGCTGTCTCACTTGTCTTCACACTCTCTTGTTTACCCCAAATGTCAGAGACCAATGTAGAAATGAGAAATAAATTACTAATGCCCAAATTTTCAGCAAAATGTATGTATAATAGTTCCTCACCTTTAAATCCATATCCATAAAGAATTTAATCTTTTAATATAATTCCTACATTCCTCTCCCTACATATTCCATTGTCATATCAATGACACTTCTGATAACATGTGTATCTACTTCTTGAAGATGTATTCTGGTGGTGATATGGATAGTAATTGACAGTTTTTCTTTAAAATTTCTGCTTTTCTGCCTCTAGAGTTTTGCAGTATACAGGCAAATTTTCTTTAAAGATGTGTGCTGGATTTGCCTGATCGATATACAGATATGCTTTAATATTTTGACACAGCAACCTTGTCATTTCATCTGTGCTTTGGTTAACAATGGGCTCAAGGGACTCCTTTGTATAATCAAATGAATTGACCTGGACTTGGGCTACCAGGTGAATGTTTATATTATTCCCATGCAGATACAAAATTCCACATTTTATTTGGTGCATTCCTCTTTTGGTTCTGAGTGAAAAAATGGTGTTGCTAACCTAACATTTATAGAAGGATACTGGAAAATTCAGTCAGGTGCCCTTACTTGGCATATTTATGATGGTTTAAGCTATTGTTCTACCAGTTACTGCTTTAATTACCTCCCAAGGTCTTCAGTGCCTGCTTTACTTAATGTCACTGAAATTCGCAAAACCAAGACATTCTCTTTCCCTTCATTTTATACCTCATGGTTGAAATTTTTCTGTTAGTGAGTGGAAAATGACCATGAGATACGTAGACCATAGTGCAAATGATGGAACTGTTGAAAGTTCTTTAGCAAGCCAATGCCATGCCATTGGAGACTATACACAGAAACAGATTCTTCTCCACTAGCACTGTATAATCCCAGCCTAGAAATGAGCCAAAGCTGTCTTCCAACCAGCCAGAAGCATAAACATGGGTCTGATTTTCCTCCCAGCCTATTGAAAATTTAACAGAAATCCGCAAAACGAACAAATTCAAGATTCAAACAGTCATTGAAATGCTTTCATAGCATTTGGTTTGTAAATATTTTGGATGAAACGTATTGGGATAGTCTGAAAATCCGCAGGAGATGTGGGTCCCTGCCTTATTTTCATATGCTATGGATACATCTCTGGGAGCTTGCAGCACCCTTCTCAAAACCCAACTGTCATATGGAGCTCATTTGCTACTCGAACCCTAGACATATATTTAACATAAGTGATATAATGACCTTCAGTATTTTTCTATTGAACAAGTTTAGCAATTTTTGCCATTAAACAGATTAGTTATGCAAAGTATTTAGCTTTTATAATCATTTTAGTTAGGACTAAAAGGGGGAAATTATGCTGCATCACTGATAATGAACTTTGTGAAAAATTTTTTGTTTATCTGACTCTCATTCCTTCAGTATTCTTGCTATAAATTTGTTTTGGAGATAATGATAAAGATTTATTTGAAAATGTCTAAAATGTATGTATATTTTATAAATATATATTATATATATTGTAGGAATATATATAATATATATAGACTTCATATATGTGTGTGTGTATGTGTGTGTGTACGCACACATACACACACACACACACATATATATAAACCATAGGTGCATTTTACTGTTTTGTATTTTCGTTTTTAGAGATAGTGTACACCGCAGGTAATGATGAGTATGATGAGTGTTGTGCTGTTTGCTTTTGCAGTATAATATATAGTTCTAAATGTTTAAATTACTGTATATACTATATTCATTATAGGCTAGCATGCTTGTTTTAAAGACTGTCATTCTAGTTTATTAAAATCTGAATGTAAGAAAACCTGGCTATTCAAATGTGAATTGAAAAATATTCCATTCTCAGTACTGAACTATTTCCATTGAACATTCAGGATTTTTAACAAAACAGATATCATCAAGAAGGCAATAGCTAGAGAATGAGAGGTGCCTTTAAAATAAAATACAAATGCAGCCTTACAGTGAGGATGAGGATTGAGTTGGGGGGGCGGGGGGCTATGAGAGAGAAAGTGTGTGTGTGTGTGTGTGTGTGTGTGTGTGTGTATGTGTGGGTGTGTGTTTGCCAATCTGTGACGGTCCTGATTTGTGACCATCAGTGTCTTCAGTGTATCTGCTCAACTTCTAGGATTTCAGGGGACATTTCATGCGTTGTCTTTGTGCTCTTCTGAGCACCACATGTACTTTCCAAGGATTTTGAATGTGAATTCCTAGAAATTTCAGTAGAGAGGAAAATAACTATTCTTTCACTATAGTCAAGTTCAGGTAAAAGGAGAAACTCGGTTCACCAAAATTATGGGATCTCATCAAATGTTGGCTAAGTAAATTAATTTTTTTAAAAATGTACTTTCTAAAGGCCCTCTTTTTTAGTACTTCATATATTTCCCTTCAAAGCATGCCATGAAATTCTTATGTGATGAAGATTCAGCTAGTAAAAATTATTTTTAGATACCTGAACTAGTTAAAAGTTAAAATACCACCTAAGAGTAGTGTTTAAATGACATCTTTCATATCTACCTCTTTGTCATTGCTGCCATTTTAACTAAAGCAAATCTTTATGACATCTGAAATGATGATTGGATGCAATTTAAAAATCTATGTTGGTGCTTTTCTCAGGCTTTGTCATTTAAGTTATATTGAACTAAGATGTCACAAATCAGATTGAAAGACTTAATAGAGTTTTGGTTTTCTTTTGAAAGAACTGCTTAAAATTTATCATTAAGGTTGATAGTGAGTGGATATAGTTAATCTGTGGTTGGTATATGTGATATTTTCAACCAAGAGCCAAACTGTTATTGAAGTTACAAAGAAAAAGAGCTCTAAGTACAGTTTTCTTCAGCTTGCTTTATTCTTTGAAAGCTATTTCAAGGCTATTAAGTACATAATCATTAATTTTATTTACTCAGAAGTTGCCTTTGTTACCATGTTATTTGTCTAGTTATTTATATAATTGTAGTACTTTATGTGTTTGACACTGGGATTAAGGTTGTACAAAAGTAGTAGCTGACAGAAATTATATGTATATTTTTGTGAAATGTATCAATTCCAGAAGTTCCTTTAAGGGGAAGGTCCAGGAAACATGTTCCTCTTTAAAAACAAAGGACAGGCCTCCATAAATGATTTGAATCATTTTTACTTTCAGCACTGAAAGTTTAATTGGCCATATCCATCATCCAGCTGGACCTCCATGTCAGTGTCAGGGACATCAGATTGACAAAGTATTTAACAGATTGCATCAGTTTTGTTTTTTGCTTTTGTTCCATTTTTGTTTCTGTTCTTAATCTTAAGAAAAAAAAACCAAATTTAGGCCAAATAGAGATCCCTAGATTCCACTTACTTATTATAGGAGTATTCCTGAAGTGGTGCTTAGGGGTCAGAATTTTCTGGATCTTTGCTAATCCAGCTTTAGATTTGATTTAACTGGGACCACATGCTTGTCATCCTTTTGATGCAAATTAGAAAGTTCATTTTAATTTAGATTAACTTTAATGTCTGCCTGGATTTTTAACAGGCTGTGAACCAGTGAGTGCCTTGTTAATGTAGAATGATTTTTCCCTGGTTGGTAGCTCCTTTCTGAAAATGTCTCAGAGAATGGTATTTTAGTTGACTTGTACAGATCTGCTAAATTCGGTATTATCAGCAGTCAGAAAGCCTTCGGTCTACCACATGCCCCCCTTCCTACTTTCTTCTCATTGTTTGGCTGAAGTTTGCCTCTTGTGAGAAACAAATAACAACCCCCCTCTCCACACACTTTTTTTCAATCCAAATTAAGAAGTGTCCCTACACCCATTCCAACTATATGATCTAATATCTGTTTTTAGGAGGAACCACTTCTTTGTAATCCTGAAATCTACTGGTTACTTTATGTCTTTTCAACTTCAGTTTACTAGAGCTGACTTCAGGGCATCATCAGTTCAGATTCCTCAGTAACTTCTTTTCTCCATACCCTCAATTCCCCACCCCCCTAACTGGTGAGCCCTGGACCAGACTGTTTGATCTTCAGGTATTTTTAAATTTAGTTATAATACCAATTAATGTAAATTAATCCAAATGCTAATTTTTGTGGTGCAAGAAGTTTCTTTTGTAAATTCAGGGTATGGATAAGCTAATTATTTTTTTTTGGTGGCTCTAAGTGTATTATTTGTTTTTAAATAAAGTGTACAAATATAGATAATGTGCTATAGGTGTCTCATGAATTGAAATATTTTGGAACCTAGTGGATTTGCAGTTAAAATATTTTAATACATCTTGATTTTGTTTGTTTTGTTTTGTTTTGTTTTTTTGGTGGGGGCGGGTAGAAGAGGCATGCAGAGAAATTAAGGGATATTAGAAAAAGTAGATGTGAGTTCAAAGTAATGACCCAGTCCTAGTTATTGATTGTGAGGAAGGTAGAGAAATTTATCATTATAGAGTTTGAACCTTTGGAAAGCCAATAAAATTAAAATACCCCATAAGATTGGGTCAGTGATATTTTCAGGGACATGTATATTTTTTCAAGTGTTCAATTACATATTTTTTAAAAATTATACACATATAAATTTAATATCTTTGGAGTTTTTTGGCTACTTAACAGACTAAACATAAGCCTTCCCCTTCCCCTTCTTCAAATCAACATTATTTTTCAAAGGCTTTCTCTGCCCATAACTCACAATCTGTGTTCCAATCTGAAGCCATAATGTTATGTGTAATCTGAGTGTCCTTGAAACTATCTGCTGTTCCTTGATGTTTTGTATGCTGCTGTAGTAATGAGTGTTATTTTTTTTAGCATGTACACATTTTTTAGTTGTGTCAGAGATATCCCTTTTGTCCCTTTTAATGAGAATTGAGACATTTGCTGGAATGATTTTAGAGTAGTCTAGTTCAGAAGGTAGGAGAATGCTAAAATTTCATACTTTGGTGGACCCACTGGGGTACCCAGAGTGATATTCTGATCTGCATTGGGTTTCCCAAGACCATCACCGAAGTTTTGAGGGGCCTTGGAGTTGTTCTGGAACCTTGGGTGAGAGTGTGGCAAAGAAGGGTAGTCCCCCGGAACACCTAAGGATCTGGAAGCATCATTTAATTGAAACAGTAACCATGAAGCATCCCTCCACTTGTTACTTCTTAGTTACACCTGTTGCTTACAATGATCGGGACACTCCAGTTTTATGGGGAAGCACAGACCTGCAGGTCTGAAAATTGGAATCCATATTTTCCAGAACACAAATTTTAATTTAGTATATTTTGTATGCTTTCAAAACCAAACAGTTCAAAATCCACCATACAGAGAATGACTCCCTTTGTTTCACTAAGATCCTACAACCTAAAGCCCTTTCTTAATCTTATCTGTTTAATTAGACCGAAGGTAATGGTGGCCTCAGTCAGACTTGAAAGATCTATTTGAGTGAACAAAATCTGCAATATCCTGTTAACAGGAAGGGCCTATTTTGTAGAAAATGTTCTTGTCCTTGATGATTTAGCCATTCACCTTACATTGAAGGCTAGTCCAGATGCTAACTCCACATTGACTTTTCCTGTGTGCCTCTTTAAAGAGGTAATTAATCCAGTAATGTAAAGGAGAACCCACAGTAAAACATCTGTTAAATAGCACTTGGAGTACTAGAATTAGTATTGTTCATTTATGTGCCAAAGTTTTACATGCCCTCATAAGATCCAGTATATAGACCAGCTTTCTAATCTCCAACCTCAAACCAAAGATATTTTTGAATTACCTCATATAATAGCATCAAATTAAGGGTAATGGTAAGAGAAACCCATCATTCACAAATGAAATTTCCCAAACTGAAAAACTTTCTTTAATTAAAAAAACTGCATGGAAAGCAAAAAAGATTTTTAAAAGATTTATTTACTTGAGAGCAAGAGAGAGTGGAGGAGGGGCCGAGGGAAAGGGTCTCAGACTCCCCGCTGAGCGCAGAGGATCCCCGATGATCTCAGAGGACCCTGAGATCATGACCTGAGCAGAAATCAAGTTGGATATGTAACCAACTGAGCCACCCAAGTGCCCTGGAAAGCAAAATTTTATGTTAAGTGTAAGTTGTAAAAGCAAGCAGCTTGTGATTTAGACGTGTTGAAATGTTAAAGTATACTGACATCTAGCTACTTCTGATAGAAGTGGGACCAAGGCAGTAACATTTCATAAATAAACAAGGTTAATTTACCTTAAAGCAAAAGAAATCTCAGAAAGTTTACTTTGGGTGAGTGTGTGGCAAAGAAGCACCACACCAAGAAGGAAAAGTCGCCAGCCCTGTAATCTGGACTCACCACTCATTGTCTTCCTTTCTCGTTTAATGGCCTACAACAATGACCTCTGAGATCTTTTGACCTACAAAAGTGAATGGTTCCAATTCTGGCTTGTCATTGGTCCCTGTTACCTAAATTAAAATTTTTTACATCAAAAGTGTCCTAGGGCCCCCTGGTAAAATGTCAGACAACATAGTTTTTATTATATTTTAGGAAGCCATATTAATACACGCCCAGGTATGTTACACCATTTGCATGTCAGAATGAAGACATGAAAGAAATGTTCTTATGTGGCCAAGTGATTATCTCATGAAAAGATTGGAGAATCATTTTTGTAGGATGAGTTCCATTTTGAGTGATTTTGACTATGCTCTCAAAAGCATTTAAAAATATATTTGCGTATTTTTCTAGACTTTTGAGCCCATATATTTCAGATGTTCTGTGGGAATAATTTCATTCAATGTGTATGAAAAAAATCATTGTTCTCACATCTTTTGACAATCATTTATGAAAAACATTCCTGATACAGTACTCAACTGCTTTGTTAGACAACTGGTAAATGTCTCTGTATTTGGACTGCCTGAAAAAGCAGTATATTTGTACATAGTTAGCGGGTCAACATGGAGACTAGTATGATTGTTAAAATTAATAAGTGCCATATAAATTTAATTAGCAATGTCCCCTTAGAGCTATCAGCCTTAGGGTTAGATTCTGCCGATTGCCATTCAGGAGTTTTGAAAGTACACACTTTCTGCTAAAATACTACTTAATTCATTTAAGTGGAAACTTTGTTTTTCAGTGAAACAGTGCCTGTTCAGTCTCCTTGTAGATCTCAGGGTCAGAAGAAAGGAAAATTGAGCTTTCTCCCAGCTCTAAAACATTCAAGCTTGCTTTTATTCATTTTGGTCAGCCTTTTTAAACAAACAAGACAATTTGGGAATGCACTTCTAATGATTCCAATTAGAAAAAAATAAGCCCTGCAAGCAGATTTTTTTTCTCTTTAGGAACATCATTGCTTTCTGGAAGCAGAAATGATTTTACTTTTGAAATTGAAAGAGATCCACACAGTTTTGTGTTCTTGATGTATGCAAGGCACATATAGCTTGCCTCTGCAGATAAACCCAAACTTTATTTTGTGTGATTTTTAAAAATTATTTTGGAAGTGCAAAGACTAGCAAGGAAGATGTGTTTATTTTATATATTATCTTTCAAAATCTTGTGGACTTTTTGTGGTTTAGGGAGCAGGTTGTGATGAGTCTTTTTATGAATGCCTTCATTCTACGCCATCCTCAACTCAGATTTTACATATTAAGTATTGCTCACTGTCACCTAACAAACTATAACAGTTTAGGATTATGTGTTTGCTTCAGTGTCCATGAACTCCTCATTTGTTTTTCTTACAGTCCACTTAGCCTTACCATATAAAAAGTGCTCAATAACTGTTGGTTGAGTAATCAGCACATTTTCAAAACTCTTAAATCTATCCAGATCTTCAAAGACAAAAAAAAAAAAAATCATCTCTGCCAGTCCCTAGCCAATCTCAAATGTATTTAGATCTGTGAAGTTGATCCTAAGATTGAGGTCTGCACCCTAATTAGGGAGGAATTTGGACGTCACCTGGAAGGTGGCAACAGAATGCCAAAGACACCACCCTCCTGCTGCTGCACACTTCAGGCCTGCCTGTGTTGGAATTGAGCAGAGCACGTTGGGGGGAAATGAGATGTGTCTGAACCCGGTAATAGTGCCCTTTCTTTCCCCAACCTTCTGACCACCACCCCAGTGGCTTTTGATCCCCTGCGGGGCAGCTCTGCAGTCCGAAACCTCAACCTGCCAGGACTGTCTTGGGTCCAGGTCAAGTCCAGCACCCTTTCCTTGTGACCCTCAGTCCTGTTCTTCCAAACTGGCTGCTTTTTTACCCGAAGAAGTATGAAGCTCCTCCCAGCAGAAGATTGTCAAGAAAGGCATTCCTCTGGGGAGCTTGCCTTAAATTTGAAGAATCTAGGACAAATCCCTCAGGACGGTTTCAGGGCTGCTTTTTTGTTTTGAACAGTCGATGATAATTATCTAAATATTTATTAACTGTCCCAGGAAGAGCTCTGTGTTGTCTTGGCTTGCTGCTACCACTCTGCCAGGGCCCCGGTGGCTTGCCGCCTGGGTTGAAGAGCTTAATCGCTTCAGAAGTAACCTAGTCAACAAGTTAGACACAGACTATTTATATAGAACAATCAGATGACTTAAATCATTAAGTGAGTTGTGTGTATAGAATGTTCAATTCTCAATGCTAAACCTGTGTATTATGTAAGAACTATTATCTCTTTTTTAATGATCAAAACACGATTCTTTTAAGATCTGTACAGCACAAAGGAAAGAACAGGATTTTGGCCTGGATACAGGACATTTAATGTCAGTGAAACTAGTCAAGCTAACTCTTGAGTTGGCTTCTCATCTATGAAAAGATTATAAATCTGCCTGGTCGATTGATTTGAGGTAATAGATACAAAACATAAAATGCTGGGCGGTAATAAGCATCCAACAAATAATAATTATTCCCTCCCTGAATTCAGACTTCCTGTCATGTTTTTCTGTCACACTCCTGATAACTTCTAGAATATGAGGTATTTAGGAGAAGTAAGGTCTTAAAATGAACATTAAGAGTAGCCCTAAAGAAGAAGTTATACATAAAACATTACTTTCCTCAATATTCGAGTACCTGCTATGTGCCAGGCCATCCAGGTGCTGGCGTTCAACAGCAAACAGACAAAATCCTTTACCTGATGTGGCTTACGATTTAGTTGGGGAAAACAACGAATAATATATAGGTTTAAAAATACAGAATATTAGAGGGAAGTGCTAAGGATAAGCAAAGGGAAAGGAGATGATGTTTCTCAGATGTAAAAAGTGACACATGGGCAGCTGGGGTGCCTCAGCGGTTTAGCCGCCGCCTTCGGCGCTTGTGATCCTGTAGTCCTGGGATCGAGTCCCACGTCGGGCTCCCTGCATAGAGCCTGCTTCTCCCTCTGCCTG